CAGGCAGTCCTTAGAAACCCCGCCCCTTGACAATTTCAGTTGGGACCTCAGCGCTAATAGAAAGCCCACAGGAGAGGAAGAGTAAAGGGCTCTTCGTGAAAGGTGGCATCTTCTGGGTGTCACGTGACCAGACTTTCAAAGCAAAGGCAAACCGGTTGGCCCATGCACAGCAAGAGCAGGGGCATTCTGGCTCGTGGGCCTTTTTGACTTATTTTTAGCCAGGCACTGAATAACTATTAACCTCCTTTATTGGGCAAACATTTTCAAGGACCTACTGTGTTGAAAGACTCTGTGTTGGGTGCTGGGGATTCAAAAACAAGCAAAATACCTTTATCTATCCTGGAATCGCTCAAATCGCCTGGCAGAGAGACACCTACATAATTACAACATAAAGTGATAAGAGAGACATGTGCATGGTGCCATGGGACCTCTTAGAATAATTCTGAATATCTAAAAATTCTGAAATTGCCAAAAAATGATTAAGTGGTTTGTAAATGTGGCTCTTGAAATACGTTTAGCATTTTAAGAAACTGCCAAACTTTTCCAAAGCGACTGACGCATTTTTCCTTCCTGCCAGCAATGTACGAGAGTCCTGGTTCATCACTTTGTAGCCAACACTTGCTGTTGTCTGTCTATTGATAATGGCCATTCAGAAGGGTGTGTTGTGGTAGCTCATTGTGGAGTGAAATAGGTTTTATTCAGCTCTTCTCACGGCCTTCACTCTAGCAATGTGCATTATAAATCTCCAAAAGAGAATGGTGAAAAGAGTACCCAAGCTTTCCTCAACTTGGAATTCTTTTCCTCCCCCCCATTAAATGAGCATATTAAAGGCCTAATGTTTTACAGAACAGATTTTGGGAAGGATTACATCATTTAATTAGAATATTATTTTTAGCTTTGTTCTCTGTGATATTTAATCATGAACAAGTGTTTACCACACAGTGGTTTTGAGTCAAACAGCATAGATTCAGAGGTTAATAGAATGTAAGAGTTAGAGGAGGGTGCTTAACAGATTAGCGCTAGAACATTTTTGAGAGGCAGTAGCTTTTATGTGTAACTAAATGTCAGTTTGTTTTTCTCTGTGCTTGGTTCCCCAACCCAGCCCAGATGGTCCCCAAGTCTCAGGCAGAGATAGTTTGGGCTCAAGCTGAGATCCTGGCTACGTTTTACTGATGACACTCATTCAGATAATACTACTAATGCCAACAAGAAAAATGATGACAAGTACAAATTAATATTGATCATGTCTGAGCCGGGCACTGTGCTGTGAGTGCTCTTCCTGGATTATCACACTGAATCCTCACAATGACCTTACAATGTAGGTACCACTATAATTGTTTTACAGATGAGGAAACTGAGGCGTGGAGTGGTCAGTTGCTTGTACACATATAGTAGGAAGTAGCAGAGTCAGCACTTGAACCTGGGGTCATCCAAGGCTGTTGCCCAGGTCAAAGGATGTAAAGCACATGATAACTTGGTGTAGTACCTGGAACCAAGCCACAAAGCAAGTAGTCAGTGAATGAAAGATAACATTATTAATAATTAGGATCGTCTTTTCTTTTATTACTGCATGATGCTTTGTATTGTTTTACTGTCACGTGAGAGGTAGACCTCGAGAAGGGAGGTCAAGTCATGTCATGTCTATTACAATGCCTCAAGCACCGGAGGTCCTGGGGAATGTTTGTTGAGGTTGGGTGAATGAACTGGTACCTGGGAGCCAGAAGCTCAATGTCAATCTTCGCTCTTTAGGAACTCAGCCTGTGGCTTTGACTTGGCTCAAGGACAAGAGAGATTGGGAGAGAGGCCCAATCTCTTCCACTGTACATCACCCTTTTTTTTAACTTCAAATCAAACCCTAAGATTAATTCTCTGTGTTAATTTGAGCACATTCTTTAGTCCTCTATAGCCCTCAGTTTCTTCATCTCTGAAATGGAAAGAGTAACCTTGCTTCACTGTTGGCTATGAGAATAAATAAGGGACTGCTTGCCAAATGCTCACCTTAGTAGTTAAATTCTGCATGTTTCATTATTGCTGTTTAGTTGATAAATTCTAGGCTTCTTAGTCTTGCTGAATGCATTAGTTTTCTGCAGCTGCCATAACAAAGTACTACAAATTAGGTGGCTTGAACAACAGAAATGTATTGTCCTACAGTTTTGAAGGCTAATGGTCTAAAATCAAGGTGTTGGCAGTCTAGAAAAAGGGAACAAGGCTGGTCCCACTTGAGGGCTGTGGGGGAGAATCGTTTCCATTGCCTCTCTCATTGCTTCTGGTAGCCTCAGGCGTTCCTTGGCTTGTAGATGACTTCCTCCCTGTGTCTTCATGTCATCTCCCCTCTACATTAGCGTCTGTCTCTGCTTTTCAATTTCCCCTTTTTATAAGGGCACCAGCCATATTGCATTAGAGCCTACCCTTATGACCTCATTTAACTCGATCACCTCTATAAAGACCACGTATCTACATAAGTTCACATTCTGAGGCACTGGGAACAAGGGCTTCAACTCATTTTCTTGGGGGTGTTCACAATACAACTCATAACACTAAAAATGATTAATAGTTGTATCCTCTAGAAAATGCTGAAAACGTAACTTGGCATTTCTCAATGAAAGAGAAAGAATGCAATAACATGGGGCAGAAATTCCCTCCTCCTCCGCTGCACTTGACATTCACAGCTATTTCTTTAACCGGATCAGGTGAGTAGAGTCAGTTTTGAGGAAGATCAACTTCTTCCTGCAAAGCAAGTCCCAGGACCTTTGCCCTGAGTGGTATTTCCCTCCTGTGCCTTTGGAATTGCATTTCTGTCTTTTCAGGTTCATGACATTTTTGCAGAGCCCCCAGACTGGAAATAACACACCAGTTCTCTGACAGCTGGCATTCTTTCTCCATTTTTTATTGCTCTCTGCAAAACTCCCATGCTGTTTACATGTGATTTATATTCCTCCTGTGGTCCCTAAATGGATATAATAAAAACAGATTTAGAATGTTAATCTGACATGGTTTGGGCCAGCATGGTCAAATACAAATTATTTACTGGGATGATGGAAAATTGAAAAGGATAAAGTGGGGATCAGTTCTTAGTAAATATTTCTTGCTCACTCTTACAGCACTGTTTCTCGAAGTGCAGTCCACCGGATTCCTTGCATGTTTTTGGAAAACGCAGATTTCCAGGTCCCACAACCACTTTGTAGATTCAGAGTCGGGGGGGGGGGCATGATTTCCATTTCTAATGAGGTCTCCCCATGCCCCGAGTGGTTCTGGCCCTCTTTGCATCAGAGAACCATTGGTCTTGGGCACCGCGCCGCCCCCCCCCCCGCCCCGACAAAGAAACGCATTGTGTTATTTGAATTCACAAGTGCATTGTGACTTCCCTCGCTGGAATCTTCCCAGGGCTGAGGGTGAGCAGGGCCCAGCAGGCAGGTGTGGGGCAGAGGATCCCAGGACGTGCTGTGGGCAGGGGGAGGAGTCCAGCTGCCATGTCGAGGACAAGTGTGCCCAGTCCGGTGTGAGGTGACACCTGCCGAACTTGGTGAAAGAACAGTGCAGATTTGAGGTGCGAGAGGGAGACCTGTCAAAGTTGATGGTGTATGTACATGTTGCCAGGTGGATTTTGCTGGGGACTGGGTTTCTGGAAGCTCCAAAGAAGAGATGTGAGCATCCACCTGCGTCCGAGGGTCTGGCAGTAAGGAGAGTTGGAGGAGGGCGAGGGAGGCAGGAGGGACCTGGCCCCCGCCCCTGGGGGACCACAGCTGGGCCTCACGGCCACTTGGGGAACTGTGTGGAAACTCAGATTTCTGAGCTTGAACCAATCCTTCTGCATTCGCTGGGAATCTGTATTTCTAAAGCTCCCCAGGCCATCTAGAGTGACAGTCCCTTGGATTGGGGCCATGGGAAAAACTGGGGTCACTAGACCTAGCTCTGTGGCCTCAGCCTAACTCCCTCTGAACCACAGTTTCTTTGTCTGTAAGATGAAGCTACAAATACCGTTTTCTTCCCTTTTGAGTGTTGTGAGAATTAGGGATAAGAGATGTGACACAGTTAGCACTGTCGACATCATTAAACAGTGGCTCCAAACCTTGTGAGAACTGGGGTTTTGGGAAGGTATTTAGGACAGGGTGTGCTTGTCCAATGGACGTGACAGGAGTCAACAGGGGAACCCAGCAATTAGAATTGGGATATAAGGAAGGGTCTTGGCTCCGGCAATACTTGTGCCTGATTTCCAGAACTGGCACTAGAAAAAATAAGGAGGAACTTAAATGTTAAGGTTTAAGTTGCATTTATCATGCAGGTCTAGCACTGTTCTAGCATTCTATGAATGACTTTAGGAGTTAAGTGCTATTGTTATCTCCATTTTAGAAATGAGAAAAATGAGGCTCAGAAAGACACAGCAGTTATGTGGCAGGATCAAGTTTCAGACCCAAGCTCTCTGCCTCTGGGTCTTCAGCAATGGTTCCTGCCTATTTAAGCCCAAGAACAAGGTCACAGTGGCCCTCAAACCACAAGAATGAGCTTTAAAAGTAAGGTGGGCCCTGGGAAACATGGTCCTGGATACTTCTTTGCCACCCATTTCTAGATGTAAAGTTGTCCATCTTCTTTATGACAAAGTCAAAAAAAGCTCTCCTTTTCATAACAGAAGCTGAGCTGTGGTAAACCTGTATTGTTGTCCAAGGCTTGATAAAGTTTAGCAGAAAATCTGTTATGCAAAATGTTCTGCATCAAAAGTCCTTTGCCTGCTTTTTGTTTTATTCTTCTGTAAGATTTGACCCCTCTTAGGGGTAAATCAATACTTCAAAGGACGTCTCTGACCCTGTTCTTTCTTGCCTTATTCTTCATCTCACTGATTCAATCCTCATTCCTTAACTACTAATCCAAATGTCTCATCAAGATTCCTATACCTTACACACGGAGCCTTGGCATTAGGAAATATGTTTGTTTAATTCTGAGAGCGTTTGTTGGGATTTTGTCAGTTTGTAACCCTTTTCTCTTTCCTGTCTCTGTACTCCCAGGGCATAACCTTCAGTAACAGAACAAATCAGGCCAGCCAGCAAGCTGCCAGGTCCTGCCGGCGCCTTGTCAAAGAACCCAGCTGGACCCATTTCTAATCAACATCTCCCAACATAACATCTCTGGGTCACTGAAGGAGACTAGACCAGAATTTGAAATTTTCCAAAGATTTCCAATACACATTGAATGCAAAAGGATACTTAGGTTGCCTTCACAGAGCTCTGCTGTAGTTGAGAGACATAGGGAGAGAATACAGGCGTCACCTCTATCCAAGAAGTCACATGAACATGTTCCACATTTAAACCTCTGCTCATAAAATGGATGATGGTTATTGAAACAGCTCAAACCTTTACCACGGTGCGCAAAATATAGCTCAAGAGGCAACCAGGCAGTCCCGGAACCGAGGAATGGATGACTACAAATATCAGGACAACTACGAGGGCTATGCCCACAATGATGGCTATTATCGTGGCAATGAGTCCAACCCAGAAGAGGACGCGCAGAGTGATGTCACAGAAGGCCATGATGAGGAGGATGAGATCTACGAGGGCGAGTACCAGGGCATCCCTCACCCAGATGATGTCAAGGCCAAGAAGACCAAGATGGCGCCCTCCAGGCCAGCCGGCCTGCGGGGCCAGGCAGACCTGATGGCCGAAAGGATGGAAGATGAGGAGCAGTTGGCTCACCAGTATGAGACCATCATTGATGAGTGTGGCCACGGGCGCTTCCAGTGGACCCTTTTTTTCGTCTTGGGTTTGGCCCTGATGGCTGATGGGGTGGAGGTGTTTGTGGTGAGTTTTGCCCTGCCTAGTGCAGAGAAGGACATGTGCCTGTCCAGTTCCAAGAAAGGAATGCTGGGTAAGTGGAAATTTCCAAAGATCATTCTCTGCATGGCATTAAAATATCAAGGGGAAAGAGCAGTACATTTATATTGCATCTGTCCCTGTTAGGCACCTTAAACCTGTACCCTTTCAGCATTACCATTTTATATACAATTTGCCATTAAGGTGTTTTTACTCTTGGAGAAATTAATTCATTGGCTCAAGTTTACAGTTAGTGAGTGTCAGAGCTTGGATTTCTACTCAGGTCTGTCTGACTCTCAAGCTCGTAGTTCTTTTTCCAAATCTTGCCGCCTCCAGGAGAGTCTGATTTCTCTCTTCTTCATATCAAACCATCTTCTGTATCCAAGTGACGGACACGTTTTGTGAGTGGCAGGCCAGGGGTCTCTTCCACTCAGTGCTTTTCTGTGTCCTCCCAGGATCTGCTCTGTTCTTGTTTCCCTTGTTAGTGGGCTGAATGCACGTGTGTCTTGGGGATGAGTGCTGGGCGGAGCCCACCCACAGAGTCCCTGCAGGCTCTGGGGAACCACATCATGAAGTACAGATGGATTCCGCAGGGTGGAGGACCAGCTTTGCAAATCAGGGATAAGACTAGCACCCTCCGAGCCTGGGCGCCAGCTCTCAGGGCTTGAAGCAGAGAGGATTTGGTGAAGTTAGAGAAAGGGTGGGTACCACCAGTGGGGCAGAGAAGAGATTCATTATAACATAGACAAGAATTTGTCTTGGTCATTAATTGTCCTGCAAAACACATTCATTCTCTGCATTTAGAGTCTATGCATTTGATTGTTTAGCAAATATACAGTTATTGAGAACTTACTAAGAGTCAGGTTCTGACTCAAGACTGAAACATACTTAATGGCCCTTAAGAACTCCAAATCTATCTAGCAATTTAGCTTAGTCATTCAACAAATACTTATTGCTTGTATCCTATGTGCTAGTCTCTCTGTTTAGGCTCTGGGGACAAAATAATGGACTAGATAGATAGAGTCCTTACCTCTCAAAGAACTTACATACAGCAGAACAAACGGATGCTAACAAACACAGAGACTTATTTAATTACTGTAGCAATAGATGCTATGAAATACCTTGTGCTATTCTGGTCCCCAGTGCTTGCTTTCCAGCAAGGGTTGGCACACATTTTTTTCCAAAGGCTCAGATAGTAAATATTTTAGGCTTTGTGGGTCCAGATGGTCTCTGTCACCACTAATCAGCTCTGCCTCTGTAGCATAAAAGCGGCCATAGACAATATGTAAACAAATGAACATGACTGTGTTCTAATAATACTTCTTTGCAGAGATAGGCAGCGGGCAGGATTTAGCTGATAGGCTGTAGTGTGCAGGCCCCTGATAGAGAGAGAGTCAGTACAAATAAAATTGGACAGAAACATGTTAAAAATCTGCATTAAGAATTACCCCTGGGGGCTTTTAAAAGTGGGTTTATCCTTTCCTGCTTAACTATAAGGACCATTTAAAATGATTAGAACTGTGTCACTATGATTGTTAGGAAAGCAAAAGGGACCAAGTTTACAGAGACAGAAGCAATGACTTGAGAAGCAAAGCTGTCGCCCAGAGCTTTTAAACACCAGCAGGACTTTAGCAGAGTTTTTAAATTATTATTTAAAAAATTCTGCTAGTTGCCTTTAAGTTGAGGAGGTACTTTGAAAAGGACACAAAATGAAGCAAACCCAATAACCCAATCCAAAGCAAACTCTTCCAATTGATCTAAACATTCCCAAGACCTTCATTTGGTCAGTGCTCTTCTCACTGAAACCCTGGGGCCCTGCTGGTCCCAGTTGGCCATGTCAGTAACGATTTCACGCCCTCTTAGTCTCCCTGCCGCCCTGGTGCCCAGCAACCTGGTTAACAGAGCAGCGGCCTGGTCGCGGCTCCTGCTGGCTCCCAGGGTGGATGCTGGAACGTGGTCTTAATCTGGACAGCCCACATCTGTGCCATTCTGCTTTCAGCGTTTGCCAAGAAGATGCTGTGTCTCAGCCCAAGACGGGCAGGCAGACCATCTGAGCAGAGATGGGCTTCTGTGCATTTCTTGGGCCCCATTTGTCATCAAGAAAATGAATGTCAAAGTGGATCTGAGAAGTGGATGATTGAAGGGTCTTGTGAGGTCAGCATTTCTCATGTAACCTTCGTAGTCACCGTGGTAGTTGGAGGATTTTTATCTCATTTTATCCTCTGCCTGTATTTAGTAAATTAACACCAACATTTTCCCATAATTGTAAAAATACATCTTAAGCTGAGACTGGGGGCTAGTCCTATTTTCGTGCTGAACAAAAAGATGGACAGACCACTTTCAGGCAGGAGTTCCATTTGTGCGTTCAGAATTTTGTTTTCCTGGAAGGATCTAGTCACTTGGTGTATTTTATTGACTGTTAGTTTTTCTTCCATTTGCAGTGGGAAGGCTCAGGGAGTCCCCGCTTCAGACAGTGATTTAGAACCTAACAGGGGACCTCCAGCTGGGCCTCTTCCAAGGACACTGAGGATGTCAGCTGGGTGGATTCATTAGAATCCGTTGAGGTGAATTTCCATAGCCGCGCAGAGATGGGTGTATTATTCTGCTGTCGCAAAAGATTGTCCTTTAATTGTTTTGCATGCAAATTCGAGGTGAGCATCAGGGCAGAACGTTTTGTTTTTGAGTCACGTTTTCTTTAGCTTTGAATTCAGTGTCAGTTCCTGAGAGGCGAGGCCCCTTGGTGCTCCAGGGCCTGGCACAAAATATGTGCTCAGTAAATGCGTCAAGCAGTGCTGCTTCCTTTACATTCCATTTGTTGAGGCCATCATAAAGACCTTTCGCATTTCAAGGAGAAGGGGATAGACCCCATGTCTTGACGGGGGAGTGACAAATCTGGAGAACAAGTGGAACCAGGGATATTGCTGAGCCATTTTGTACAGTACAGTCAGCTGCTGACTTTCTTTTCTTTTTTTCTAAAACTTAAAAAAAAAGATTTTCTATATTTATTGTTAGAGAGAAGGGAAAGGAGGAGAAAGAGAGAGAAAGAAATATTGATGTGAGAGAAGCATTGGTCAGCTGCCTCTTGCACATGCCTCAACAGGGGACTAGGCCAGCAACCCAGGCATGTGCCCTGACCGGGAACTGAACCTGTGACCTTTTGCTTTGTGGGATGATGGCCAACCAACTGAACTATACTGGCGAGGGTGCTGATTTTCTTTTAAACCAGTCCTCTGTGTGGCCTCCTCCAACAGCATGCACTAATGAGATTTTGGGCTGCATAATTCTTTGCTCTGGGGTCCTGTTCTGTTCATTGTGGGATGTTTGGCAGCCTCCCTGGCCTCTACTCACTGTATGCCTATAGCATCCAGCTCCCAGTTACGACACCGAAAATGTCGCCGGATATTGGCCAATGTCCTCGGGGGAGGAGGACGGGCAGAATCACCTCCAGTTGAGAGCATTGCTTTAGATGACTCTCCTCAACCCTGCCCGCCCATCAGAGCACCTGAGGAGCCGCTCAGCACACACCTGCGCACGCGCACATGCCCTGCTCTAGAATAATAAGTCTGAATAATTCAATGAGGTGTGGCCATAGGCAGTTTTTAAACAGCTCCCTGGTGATTCTCTTGTGCAGCCAGTGGAGAAACAGGTGGTTAACACAGAAACCCAGGGTCACTAAAAGCTGCTGAGATATCAGGGGTTTTGCTTATTGTGCTCTGTAGGAACTCTCCCCAAATGGCTTCCTTTTTGTGTTTGTGGAGGTGGTCGGGATATTTGCACACATTTTGACCAGCATGAAAAAAATTAGGGTGATACCCAAAAAACTTGTTTGTATCTGTACAGTGCATGGCAGATTGTCCATGGTTGTCATGGAGGCTCTCATTTGATCTCTAAGTGGCCCCGGGAGATGGTCAGAGTGATGACCCTCAGCATATGTGACCAGGGGAACGGTTGCTCAGAGACCTTAAGAAACGCGTGCTGGGCTGCAGTTCCTAACGCAGCTTTCGTGCCCTGCGCGCCCTCTCATGGCCCGCTGGCGTTCGCCGTGGGCTATTTCATAGTCATGTGGCTGGAAGGTTTGTTTTCTCGTGCATTGATTCTTCATAGAAACACAAGGAAGTGATGCTAAAAAGGCAGCCATTTCCCTGTGCCTGGTACAGCCTCTGGCAACTTCCTTTAAGTCAAATTATAATAATTACACCATCACCACCAAGAGTTATAATTTGATAAGCTCTTACCTTGCACCCATTTTCTACTAGACATTTTACAAGTAAAATATTTATTCTCTGGCTCTTTCCCAAAAAATGTTAGTTGAGCCCTAGTTGGAAACATCGCAGATGCCTCTCTCAAGAGATGACATTTAATCTGGGAATTTAAGAAATCTAAATAAGAGTTAGCAAAAACTTTAGAAAAGTCCATCCCCCCCACCCCCCAAAAGTCTTGTTGGAGAAAACTTGGAAAATATTTTAGTCAAAAAGAGCTTTTTATTGGAATCTGGCTTTGTCAGGTAAGGAGCAAGGGAGACATGTTTAAAGGGTACGCTGCTATAAATAAGTTTATTCTGCTGGTCTCTATCCTCTTCACTCAAATTCCTTTAATATATGGTTGGTTTGATTTTAAAATACCACCGACTTATTTTTATTTTTCTAATCTGATGTCTTTCTCAGGTCACACAGCCAACTCTAAACTGCACTGCTTGTAACAATAGCCACTTTTATTTAACTGTGCATTTGCTTTTGGGCCAGGCTTCCTGCTAGATGCTTTCAGCCCACTGTCCTGTATAATCCTAACGACTCTGCGAGTGAGCACTATTATCTGAATGTTACAAAGCGAGAGCCATGATCAGAGGAGGCGGATGGCTTGGTTGCCCGTGGTCACACTGCAGGACTGTGAACCAGATTGTCTCTCTAGATCAGCCTCTCCCTTTCATGGCACCTTCAGTGCGGCTCCTCCCTCTTCCTGGGACGGGTATTTCATTTCCTTTGTGGTCTTGTCACCAATTCAAAGCCCTTCCCACCACATCACCTCCTCCTCCTCCTCACCCCCATCCTCCCTGTGCTGCAAATCGCCACCGTGGTTTTAAATTCCCTTAAAAAAGCTCAGATTATGAGGGGGACATCACCCTGCAGTGCCACTGAGCTTTCTGAGTGGAATTGAAGAATGATACGCTTTCTAACTAGTCCCTTATTTGCTTCTTGCTAACGTAATTTTAGATAACTCCATTGCACTCTAATTTTCCAAATTTATTTTCTTAATTCCCTTTGCTAAAAACAGATTTTAAATGACTTCAATCGCACGGCCATTTCAGAAGCATCGTTAGTTTCACATCTCCCTCCTTTGTGGATTGGCCCATCTTTTCAACTCCTTCCTTTTCATAGCCACCAAAGACAGCTCAGGGGAGGAAACACTTCTTCCCTCTCTGTCCCAGGCTCTGTGGATGAGGGCCTTTTGAATTAAATTGACAAAAGACTGATTAACAAGAGAAAAAGCGTTGATTTACAGGTACAGCGTGCATACACAGGGGTAACTCAGGATGGTCAGAACTTGGACTCAGATAGCAAACCTGCACAAAGAATAATGAATCTGGAGAGAGAAAGGAAAAAGATTTTCGGCTTTCATGGGTGGCAAACCGTGGGGAGGTAAATAAAAGAGGCAAACTAATGGAAGACAACAAGGTTGCTTTAGTGAGGTTTCTTATGTAGATTCCTGTCGATGCTGTGTCTGGCTGATAAGAGACCCTGGTGATTGAGGTTAAGTCTGCTTTTAGGGGCAGGACAGAGAGCTTTTTTGGTCTCTGCTGTTTCTCAACTGTCCTAAGCTCAAAATAATCCTTTTACAAGTGGTATATTTGGGGGCGGCTTATCCCGATCCTCTACAACAGCATTTTGAGAAGCATTTTGTGTTCCCTCTAGTCCCTGCCAGCGAGGTTTGGTTGCAAAAACACCAGGCTTGGAGCCAGGAGACGGGAAGGGCCGCGTGTGTGGATCCTGGGCCAGGGTCTAGGTGCTGGGAGAGAGACTGACTTTCTCTTGGGCTGAGCTACCTCACCTAGTTAAGCTAAAGGGCTGGATTTAAAACTAACCTCTTAAGATTCATCCATTTCTCTATGTGTCTGGATGGGTCAGGGTATATTCAAAAGACAGAAATCATGCCGGTTATTCAAACAGATAGATTTAATATAAAAATTATTATCTGGACTAGTGAAATGTTTTTTTAGAAGCCTGCTGAGGTCTTGAATGCAGGGAGCAGCTGCCAGCTTTAGGGATGGGGGAATAAAGAGAAGAGACTAGAATTATTATGATTTAGAAGCTCAGACAAGGGGCCTCTGGGAGCTAGAGCTCACATCTCTGGAGAGGGGGCCCTGGCTGGCTGGTGCCGGCGTGGGCGAGGATAGAAGGGCAGGGTGTGGCTGATTCTGCTAACTGGGGATTCAGCTGCTGCCTTGGAAAGGCATCGCTGCTGTGGGTGAAGAAGTACGGCTGCCGTGAAATTTACAGGAGCCGAGAGCGCAGGCCCTTTCTTCCTTCTCTCCCCTTTATGGCTCTCCCTAGTGTCCGCTGTTGGAGGGCCTAGCAGGGAGCGACTGGCAAAGCACACACGCGGTTTGTGGACAAAGGAGGGGCTAGATGGGTGGCTTTGGAGCTGAGAGACAGTAGCTTAATAACTGGCACAGTGTTCGTTGCAGAGACTGCAAACCGCTGGCCTCAAAGGCTCACTCAGACTTTCTTGGAAGAGACGGGTCACGGCAGCTGGAGATGGTTTTAAGATGCCCTCACCAGTGAGTAGGCTGTCCTGCTAGACAGAGCTCACAATGGCTCAGAACCGAGCAAGATGAAGGCGGGAGGGAACCATGTGTTGAAAACCCTGGGCCGGGCAGAGCTGAATCAGGCTGAGCGACTCGCAGTCTAGCAGGGAGCAGTGACCCCCACGTTACTGCCATACAGCATGACACATTTTATGAGTTGGATTTGCAAGTCATGATTCATGTTTACAAATGCCAGTGACCTAATATAGTGGGAAATTGTTCAGTACATCTTCTGAGCTCAGGGCGGAGGAACGGGTCAAACAGGGAGAAGGGGAAATCCTCACTGCGTCACTGCTCTGAACGGGCAGAGAAACCTCCCTGGAAAGAGCCCAGGAGCACAGGCTCAGCAGTTTCCCCCAGATGTCCCCATGTTTGGCTTCACTTAGGTCTGTGCCCAAATACCCCATTTCAGTGAACACTTCCTGATCTGCCTTATTTTAAATGGCCGCCCTCTACCCTGGTTCTCCCTATCCCGCCCCCTCCCATGTGTTATTTTTTATAATGCTTACAAGTAGTCCACTTACTATATATTGTACTAATTTCTTTGTTTATCTCTTTTTCCCAACTGCAATGTAACCTTCACAAAGACAGGGATCTTCACGTGTTTGTGCCTCACTGTATCCCTAGTAACTCAAATACTGCCTACCTAATAACAGGCATGTAATAAATACGTGTAGACTCATAGGCATATTTCATGAAGTAATATCATATACTGAAAAGAAAATAATGTATTTTGTGACTTTGACCAATATAGAGGGTGAAGAGTTACAATGCAGGTGAGTGAAGAAAATCCTAGCTTGTAAAAAACTTGACAACACCAGTTATCATTTCTTTTCATTTAATAGAATAAAATGATAAAAGAAGGAAATATGGTACCCCATGTTTATTGCAGCATTATTTATAATAGCTAAGATATTGAAACAACCTAAGTGTTCATCCCTTGATAAATAGAATATCATTCAGCCATAAAAGAATGAAATCTTGCTGTTTGCAACAACTGGGTGGGCTTTGAGGGTATTATGTTTGCTAAGTGAAAGAAGTCAGGCAGAATAAAACAAACACCATATGATATCACGTATATGTGGAATCTTAAAACAAAACGAAACACCGAGCTCATAGATACAAAGCACATGCTGTTTGCCAGAGGCAATGGTGGGTAGGTAGCTGGAGGAAGTAATCAGGTGCGCACATCCAGTTATAAGAGAAATAAGTCATGGGGCAGTAATGTGCAGCATGGTGACCACAGTTAATGATACTGTACTGCTTGTTTGAAAGTTGCCAAGAGAGTAAATCTTAAAAGGTCTCAGCGCAAGAAAAGAAAATTCAGTAACTGTGTATGGTGGCGGATGTTAACTAGACTCATCATGATGACCATTTCACAGGATATACAAATATCAAATCATTATATTGTATACCTGAAACTATTAATATGCTACATGTCAGTTAACTCTTAATAAAAGATAAAAATAAATAAAACAAAGCCAATCTGTCATTGGGCAGATAAAGCAAAGTATAGTTAAGTTTCTCCTTTGAGGACCCACCTGCAAAGTGCTGAACCAACAAAGTGCAGCTTTTTGCTCTGTGTGGGTCCTTCCTGGTACACATCTCCATAAATAAAATATCTGCAGTCCTTTCTGTGAAAGACAGTTTGCATTTGTGGCTTGATTTACAGTCAAGGCTGGGCCAAGGAATACTTGTGAAGCTTGTATGCATCATTTTCTCTGCATGAAAGACGTGCAAAGTTTCCTCCATGGGTTTAGTCAATACCATATATACTTAGCATGGTCATTGATAATTAGTGAGCACTCAATACTTAATAGGAAGGAATTATTCGTGTGCTTCTGGAGATTTGCCACCTCTATGAGGATGCTGTCTTCCACTGGAATACCATACATGTGTCTACAGCAATATATTTATATGAAAGCTTAAATGAACTGACTTTATTCTAAGGCATGTAGTGGTTTTAGGTGTATGAGAAAGAATAGCTCATTGCTGCTCTCTTCCACATTCCTGTAAGAAATATGAAAACTGGTTGTAGCTTGGAAAGGTCCTTTTTGGGTATTTCATAAAACTTGGGTGTTTTAATAAAGCAGCTGGCCTTGTTGGCAATTGTTTTTCATTGTACCATTTTCTTTCTTCCCAATGTTCTCCATGCCCACTTTGCCACTTTTCACTGGAAATTCTCTCTCTTTACAGTTTTAAAAATTAAAAAAAAAGTTTTTTAATTATAGTTTACATTTAATATTATTTTGTATTAGTTCAGATGTACAGCCTAGCAGTCAGACAATCATGTACCTTACATAGCGTTCACCCTGATATTTCCATTACCCACCAGGACCAGAGTTATTGCAATATTATGGGCTATATTTCTTATGCTGTAGTAGAACTTCTTTCTTTAAACATAATCCCACAGGTAAGGATTTTTGCAGCACAAACACTTTCGTATGCTTAAAAATAAAATGACAGCATTTCCTTTTTCTGCATATTATGCATTTAAGAGAGTAACATTTAAGAAAGGAACATCAATCCCAGTGTTTGATCTTTGTTAGTATGTGTACAGATGTATGAACCTGTGAGACTTTTTTTGAATAGCATTCCCAAGAAGTTGAATTCGTACAGAACTTCTAATTTGCCATGAACATCTGTTGCATCCCACCTTTTATGCTGGTGACATGGAATTTCTAGGATGTATAAGACTGGGCGTCGGGTTTTCTAGAACACTGCATGGTCTCTAATGTCTTGCCTTCTCTCTCCGCCCTCTCCCCTCTCGTTCCCAACAGGGCTGATAGTCTACCTGGGAATGATGGCGGGGGCCTTCGTCCTGGGGGGCCTGGCCGATAAGCTGGGGAGGAAGAGAGTTCTCAGCATGTCCCTGGCCCTCAACGCCTCCTTCGCCTCCCTCTCCTCCTTTGTGCAGGGTTACGGAGCCTTCCTCTTCTGCCGACTCATCTCAGGCATAGGGTATGTAGTCTCGGAGCTGCAGCTGGACCCCCCCAGAAGAGTGGTCCATCCATCCTGGAGTTCCAGCTCTGAGTGGGGCCTCCAGAAAACCCTGGACTAGGCTTTTGTTTGACTTCCAAGATTACTATATTGAAGTTAACCTCAGAAAGGGGTTAGGTTGTAGAGTCAGTGTAGAAGGTCAACATAACCTGGCACTGGCTTGGCCAATCTTTCAAATTCACTGTTATTTCACTCAAGAGCCTAAGGGTGGGGTATAGGCAACTTGGTTTCTGCTATGACCAGTTTTAGTGTGTGACTTGATTCTTTGTTTCTGGCATTTTTTCTCCCCACAGTATTGGCGGAGCTCTGCCCATTGTTTTTGCCTATTTCTCTGAATTCTTGTCTCGGGAGAAGCGAGGAGAGCACCTCAGTTGGCTGGGCATCTTCTGGATGACAGGGGGCATCTATGCGTCTGCCATGGCCTGGAGCATCATCCCACACTACGGTGAGCACGCGGCTCAAAATAGCTCTGTGGCCCTTGTTAGGATGGCACCTGCCTTCAGGTGACATTTTCTGTCCTGAACCTTATTCCCCATATTCACACAGTTCCTGTGTGTGATTTTGATCTTTCCAAAAAAACTTCCACCACTGGAGACACATTGCTAATATCACTACATGCATTTCAGGAAATGCAGTCTGTTTACCCAACTCCCACCCCCCTCCCCCCTCCCTAATCCTCTCCTTTCCTTTCTTCTTTTTCTTTGAAAGAATTTCACCTATCTCCTCCAGCCCTCTGCCACCCTCAACAACTTAGGCTTTGGTAACCCCATTTTGGAGATGATGTAACAGAAGCCAAGCAAAGTTGGTGATTTGGCCAAGGTCACGTCCCTGGCATGACCTTGAATCCCGTTGCCCCCCACCCCCGCCCCCAGCTCCCTATCAGGTCTCCAGGAGACTGCAGAAGTGGAGCAGCCCTGACAGGCAAGGTCTTGGTTTCAGCCAGGACAATTTGATTATCCTGGATAATTGTAAAAGTAGATTTTCTAACCAGAGACCTGGCAGTGTGAACTTTCACTGTCGGTTTTGTTAAGAGTAAAGTTAAGGAGAAGACAGCAGTTCTGAATTTTATTAGGACTTTTGAGTATCCTAGGCAAGAAGTATCACCAGCATCCTTTAAGCTCATTTTTGAAAACCACCGATTATGGGTGTAGCCTTGGTCACGATTTAGAACCCATGGAGGGATGGGGGTAGCAGACACCTGCTCCTGAAGCTAACCGACACGTCTCCACTCATTCACCTTCTTGATGTCCTTATTTTAAATGTGATCCTTTGTGTGTTCTGATGTAATGGAGGCTCCACCTATATCTTTTAAAGAAGTCTTAGTGTAGACGATGCTTCCTCTCTTAGTTAAGGAGAAGCTGAGGACATTAGCCTGATAACCCTATAAACCCTGAAATCTCAGTGGTTTAACGCAATCGACACTTCTCCTCCCTATAAAGTCTGGAGGATTTCTCTGATCTGCCAGTGGCTCTTCTCCATCGGTGAGTCGGGAGCTCAGACTCCCAGCATATGATTCTGCCATCTTCAACATGAGATGTGAAGGCCCTTGGTTTGGGGAAAGAGTATGGGCCATTGTATGTGGGTCCCATTTGCCCCAGATGTGTAATATGATCTCACCCTACTGCAAAGGACACTTGGAAAGCAACCTAGCTGTGTGCCCATAAGGGAGAGGAAATGGGTTTGGGAATGTCATGTCATCTTTGCCACATCTGATTTTGTATCAGAAACAGAAGAAATGAGACCAGAACTTAGGAAATAAGGAGTTGGGGAGTTTTCCACGTAGTTCTGTCACGTAAAGCCATCCTGTACAACTTTGGGTACGAGGTGATATCTCCCTAAATAACAGGCCCTGCATTCTGCACTCAGGCACACTATGTGCTATGCTATTGGTTTCCCCCTCGCAACTATTGCTATAGCATCATTTCCCCTGTTAACTGGTCCAAATGTATAAACCCTAAGAAACTATTTCCACATTTAAAATGAATTAAAAAGAAACTTTTGGTGGGCTAGGGGACAAAAAAATCTGGATAAAAGCTGAGTCAAAGTAATGTGGTGCTGTGTGATTTGGGAAAAGTTGCTCCATCTTGTTCCATTGTGTGGGTGTTGGGTTTCTAAGAGAGCAACCAAGGCATTTAAGTGGGGAGGGGAGTGGAGCGTGTTGACCCCGTGGCAGAGGGGCTGCGTGGCTGCTGACTGAGCCCTGCTGGTTGATAGCAGGGCTCGTGGTCAGGTATCTTACCCCGAATGGACAAGGTGATATTTACCTGTATGCCTGTATGAAATCTGTGGCCTTAACATTCCATGTAAAAATACGAGCCTCTTAAAAAGAGTTGAGGGAAGAGACATGAGAATAAAGAAGGAAGTCGGTGGTCAATAGAAGGCAGTACCGTGTTGGAAGCAGAAGAATAGAGTTAAGATGGGAAGGAAAAGAGAGATGTGAAAATAGACTATTGTGGGTGGCGTCAACCCTTGGTAGTGCCAAAGAACGAAAGTAAAAATTTAAAACTTAATTGAGTTCTAAACCACGTGAGAGTAGATGTAGCATTTACCACGTTCTGAGCCTAGGGGCTGGCATGTAATAGGCACTCAATAAACTTTCTTGAATAAGTAAAAAACAAACAAACAAACAAAAAACAAGCCTCTTAGGTAATCTGGCTCTACGGAAACAGGCGTTAGCTTGGGAGAAACCCACCCTAGAAATATGGCAGATGTGAATCACAGTAAAACAGCAGTGACTATTTTAAGCCTCCTTTTACCAGGACCAGATGTTTTGTCCACAGTGAACCAGACATTTGATGGTATTTCTCAATATGTCTAAGACATTAATCCTCCACCCTCCAGCCCCGGCAGGGTGGGTGCAGGGGTCACTATGGGAAGAAGACGGATGTGTGTGCGGCTTGTGCAACCATTTAATTGCTTTTGCAGGAACTGAGTGTTGGGAGGTCTTGGCCCCAGGAACTGGGTAGCTGAGTCATTGAGAAAGAAAATGACAAAACTCGGAATGTTTTTCTGGGAACTCAGGGAAAAAATGTATACATTATGGAAGAGTAATTCCCATTGTAGTCAGTACCACCAGCTGTTTGTGAAATCCTGACGCAGAGAAGGAGGGCAACTGAAAGATCAGTGAACGAACAATCTTTCTCCGAATTAACAGCTGTCCCATGTATCGGGGGCAGTTCGGTATTCACTTTTATTAATTTAAGGCCCTCAGGATGTGCCTCATAAATGTGGCAAGTGCAGATGACCAGAATCACCATAAAAACCATAGGGGCATGAAGGGATAATGGATTTTGGATAATTTAAGCATATTATCATAAAGAAATCCTTCTGAGGCAGAATACTTTATGAACGTACCAGCTCCTGCCCTTCCCTTGTTATCTCGCTGAGATTGGCTCCTCTGGCTTTGATCCATTTTACTTCTAATTCTGCCAGAATAGCTTCTGGACATGAGTTGAGAATGCATAAATATTATTGTGGTTTTATCTTTTTAGTATTACTCTCAGGAGAAAGGAAAGGCTTCTTAATTAAAATGAAAGCAAACAAACCACCCGCAGTGAGAGGGGAAGGAGAAGAGACCATGCTGTAGAAGAGATTTCACTGTGACTGAGAATATTGGCTGACGTGTGTGCTGTGTGTCCAAGCTGCTATGGCTGCACCTTTCCCTGCCTGGGATTCCCTCTGGCTTGTCCTCTAATTGTCCCGGCAGAGTCAGGAATATCTGCAGAAACGGTAGATATTGGTTAGGAGTCCACAGCAAGAAGAAGAACTCAAAGCACAATGGGGATTAATAGAGAATTAAAGATATCAGCTGTCCAGTGCAGTTGGCTTTGTGGTATATTTTTAATCTCAGTAGGATAGAGATTTTACAGTCAAATAATGATTATCCTCTTAACTTTAGAAATCAATATATTCATTTACACAGTTTTCTAAATTTTTTTTGAAAAATGCTGCTGGAGATACTGTGGGTGGCATGAGAAAATCAATCTCTTTAGTTTATAACCTTGGCTTTAAAGAAATCAATTCTTTTGCTTATCTTTACTGATATTCACCTATTGTGCTCAATATTTTGGGCACTAAATGTCATGGAGCTATTTCTAAAGAAACCAGAGCTGCCCTCTAAGCAGGTGAACTGGTGGCTGGAAGTGTTCCCGCATGGCACACCTGTGTCGGTGTCATCACCTGCATTTCACAGCTCTGAAAACCCACCAACATGATAACAATGTGAGAAAACCAGAATTCAGACTCTCATCTCTGTGGCTGCAAAAGGCCAGGCTCTCTCCACCGTGTGGCTGCTCCTTAATGAGGGAAATGTGCGACCCATGAGGATATTTGAATAATGTTTTGTGGATCCTTAAAACAAATTCTGAAAATGAATTTTGAAAATACTTTGAATAATGAAAGCTCAGTAGGACCTGGTCACCTCTTCATTTCAATGATGGTATGATTCATTTGAAAATAGAAGCTCAGTTTCTTTAAAATTAAGAAAAAAATAATATAATGACTGGCAAGGTTTTTCAAAGTGTCCTTGAACCCTGGTTACTGGAGTCGCCTAGAGCTGATGCTGTCCTTTGACCTGAGTAGGATGAATCCTCTATCAAAACCTTGGGTCGCATAAGGCTATGCTCTGGCTTTCCTCCAGCTGCTCCTTCCCATGAAGCAGGGGTCTGTGAGGTCAGGACCCCCACTCCATCTCATCCTGCCCTGGGGTCTCAGGACCCAGGAATTTCCACTAAAATCAAGGGACCATGGCGAGGATGCCCATTGCCACCACGGTGGTGTGTCTGGTGTGTCCACACATGTGAGCCTCAGGCCCCTCACTCGGAGGGAGGGGCTGGGGAGGAAAAATAAGGGGGTCCCCCAAGGCTGGGTCCTGTGCAGTGCTGGGCAGCGGGGTATAACGTGTTACCGAACAGGCTGTTAACTTGAATTTCAATGACTATACAGAAATATGGGATGTTGCCTCTGCCTGTACTCTCACTGAAGACCCCGTACATGCCAGTCCAGGCCCACTAGGGGCTTGTCAGGATGCAGACCCCCAGCACCTATCCCGGACCACAGAATCAGAAGCTTTGGGGACACAGCAGGAAGTCTACCTTTGAACCTGCTTTCCGGGGGGTGCTCTTGTGCCCTGCAGTTGGAGAGCCAGCGCTTTAAGATCACTCTCAGATCGTGTCCAAAGTCCTCTGATTTCTGTTCGGCAGGCTGGGGCTTCAGCATGGGCACCCACTACCACTACCACAGCTGGAGGGTGTTTGTCATCGTCTGCGCTCTGCCCTGCACCCTGTCCATGGTGGCCCTGAGGTTCATGCCAGAGAGCCCGCGGTTTCTGCTAGAGGTGAGTCAGTGCTCCGGCCCCAAGTGAGAGGAATGGGACAGCGGCAGGCGCTGGCTCTGCTTTCTCAGCCCCTTGGACCCTGTCCCTTGCTTGCAAACTCCCCGCATCGGCTGATCTGGCCCATGTTAAACCCAGCGGCATGGCCGTCTGTGATGGTGGCCGGCCCTGGATTCACGGGCTGCCTGAGGCAGGGGCTGGGGAGCGCACCAGGTGCTGGGCGAAGAGGCGGGGGTGGGGCGTGCCTCCTGAAGCTGCTTCCGGCACCCACGGTCTCCAGAGGTCCCGAAGATGAGGCTCTGCAAAGCCGCGTGGCATTTCTCCTTGTGACATCTGTGGTAAAGCATGTCGCTGCTCTATAACCTTTTGGGACTCTTAGCCATGCAGGACCCCTCCCCACTGTAGAGCCGCCCCCAGAGTCCTGAGAGATTTGTCCTCGGAGCCTTCTGCCTTGGAGGCCTCATGTGTGCAGTGGGCAGGCGGGACGTGGCTGGTAGAGGGGCAGGGGGACTCGCAGGCTCTTGTAGCCCCAATTCTGAGTCCACTCATGGGCCTCCTTCTAGACCTTTCTTCAGAGCGGCCCCCTTGTTGAGTTTCCTGTTGACCAGGAGACGGATGCAGCAGGGAGTGTTTTTAATCAGGGATGTCTCACATATTACCCTTTGTCGTGGACTAGTGTCCTACAGCTGTTGTAACAAAAGGACCACAAACTGAGTGGCTCAGAGCAAAGGACATTTATTGCCTCACCCTTCTGGAGGCTGACAGTCCAAAATCAGGGTGTTGGCAGGTCTACGCACCCTCTAAAGCCCTTAGGAGAACCCTTCCTTGCCTCTTTTCCTTGGTTCCTAACTAAATCACACCAGTCCCTGCCTTTGTCACACATGCATCCCCCCGTGTGTCTCTGTGTCTTCACATGGCTGTCTTCTTATAAGGACCCAGTCATATGGATAAGGGGGCCACCTACTCCAGTGTGACCTCATCCTAATTACATCTGCAGCAAAGGTCACATTGTGAGCTCCTGGGGGTTAGGACTTCAGCCTGCCTCTGGGGGGACGCAGTTCGACTCCTGACATGTCATGTCTTCGATTTATCCTGTCAGTGAGAAAATGGTGTCCACCCAGCAATCCATTCAACCTTACAACTACACGCAGTTCCTCACAGCACATAACGATGTTAATACTGAGCACTTACACCTTGAAGGCACAACTTTATTACCCTTCCATGGTGGGCTGGTGACAGAAACTTGTCACCATCTTTCACAAGCCGTACATCCCTTCCGCATCCCTTCGCCTCAGACCCAGGGGTCAACACTAATCAGCAAAAAGCTTTTCATGTCTCTTTCCTTGGTTTTACCAGATGGGCAAACATGACGAAGCTTGGATGATCCTCAAGCAAGTCCACGACACCAACATGAGAGCTAAGGGGACCCCGGAGAAGGTGTTCACGGTGAGCCTGTGGTTGCCTGTGCCAACAAGAGGGGGCTTCTCCCCTTTCCTGCTTTGGTTCGCTGAAAACTGATTTTTTATATAAGCACGTCACAGAAAATTTGTCACGAGATGAATAAAACCCCTGACATTTTTATCGCTGTGTTGTAATTAATTCTTTGCATTTTGATGGTTATCCTTCTCAGTACTGATAATTATTAAACAATGAGAGAAAGCTAGCTGTATTCATGCAGGGATAATATTATTACATGTATTTACATATACATGTTACTTAAGAGTTCTCATAAGCATTCTATATGTTGTCTCCTAGTGTTCATAACCATCCTTTTAATGAACATTTGTAGTAGGAGTATCAACACAGTTTTTCTAAATATGTCCCTAAGGTTAGAGATTGATTTCCCTTATTTTATTTTCTTCTTCCTGTAAATGTTGCAGTGAACCTTCTCACTCGTATGGTTCCTTCCCCTTTCTTTACATTCCGGGCTTGTTTTCTGAGAGTCGATGCCTAGAAATAAAACGACTGGTTGCGAGAGCTTGAGTGTTTTTATAGCTCTTGACATATGTTACAAATTACCTTTTAGTAAGGTTGTGCCAGCCTACGAGGCCACAAGCAACAGGTTACCCATTTCTGTACATCGTTACCGCCATTGGCTGTTAGCCTGAATTTTGTTTCTTGCTGGTTTACAAAGTTCAAAAACTGGTAAATGGCAATTTTCATGAAGATGTCCTGTTAGTTACCAGGATCTGTGTTCCTCCTCACCAAGCCCTGCGGCCAACCCTGAGAAATGACCGCTGCAGGCATCGCTGTGCACCTGTTGGCAGAAATTCCTCTCAGACCCAACCTTAAATCCATTTCCTCCAGGAAACCTTCCTGGATTAACTCCCCCACCTACATGGGTGTGCATATATCTTTTTGAAGTAGTGTTTTTGTTTTATTTGGACAAATACCCAAAATGAAATGCTGGATCATGTGGTTGTTCACATTTTAATTGTTTGAGGAACCTCCATACTGTTTTCCACAGTGGCCGCACCAATTTACAATCCTACCAACAGTGCATAGGGGTCTCCTTTTCTCCACATCCTCGCCAAAACTTGCTATTTCTTGCTTTTTGATAATAGTCACAGGTATGAGGCGGTATCTCATTATGATTTTGATTTGCATGTCCCTGATGATTAGTGATGTTGACCACAGTTTTATGTGCCTATTGGCTCTTTCTATGTCATTTGTTGAGAAATGTTTATTTAGATCCTCTGCCCATTTTAATCAATTTTTCTTTTTTGCTTTTGAGTTGTATGAGTTCTTCATATATTTTGGATATTAACTACTTATCAGATACATGATTTGCAAAGATTTTTCCCATTCAGTCTGTTGCCTTTTCATTTTGTTGATGATTTCCTTCACTCTACAGAAGGAAGACATAGTTTCTCTTGTCCTGTTGTATTTTTAAAATGTCCTACATAGCAAACCCATTTCTCCAACACACACACACACACACACACACACACACACACACACACACACTTTCCTACATTGGTTCTAGACTTCTGTGATGTTAATACCCATTGAGGATTGACTTGCGAATTTTAAGATAGAGTCAACCCTACTGTGAGAAAATCAGATATAAATGAGAATTCAGTGAATTACAACCCACTGACTTCCCAAAGGCACTGCAGAATGAAGAGGCTGATTCATTTTTGTCTACAGTGGGATAAATATCACACAGAAATGCTATGTGCACCTCTGGTTAAGAGTCATCGACCTGCAAGGTCACCAACGGCTCCTCTAGGCCTCAATGAATTAATAAAGTCAGTTCCATTTAACTAACAATTGAAAGGTCTGACACAGAGTGGGGTTAAGATTCTCTAGCTCAACTTTGCTTTACAGGTTTCCCACATCAAAACTCCCAAGCAAATGGATGAATTCATTGAGATCCAGAGTTCAACCGGAACTTGGTACCAGCGCTTTCTGGTCAGATTCAAGACCACTTTCAAGCAGGTACGTGGTGGATGAGTGGGTGCTCTGTGGAAACCTGTAACCTCAGTGGATGAAGAAAGGAAGCCTTGCACACTCCCATCAGCCCAAGCTAGTGTGACGGGGAGGGAGCATCCCGCACGGGGACGTTTGGGTCCGAGCCCATGACTGCCTCTCATTTGCTGTGAGTCCTAGAGCCACAAACTCTCTAAACCTCAGTTTCCTTCCTTTGCTCTTCCTTCCCAAGGCAGAGATTTTGAATGAAGGTAAAATGCCCAGTCTGAGTCAACATCCTTCTCACTAGCATCTTCTCTTTAAATAATCCATAGGAAGACAGGAGTGAGTGAAATAAACGGCCCCTCGAGGTTTGCTAGTGGTTTCTGAGAAAGTCTTCATGAAGGGCAAGGCCGTTTCTGCCGAGCAGTGGCTCCTGCAGCCCAGTCAGCTGCTGGGCACCGAGGCAGCTGATGGCCAGAGCCGGCTGAGGCTGGAGGGCCTGGGTGTGTGATCGTGCCGTGTTTGGGATATCAGCCCACTCCCACTGGCAGGGGACAGAACTCAGTACCCAAATGTATCCAGTGCCTTGGAATCCCCGCTCACATGCATGGCATGTTTTTGTGTTCCCCGGGAAGATGATAAAGGACTGTTCGAGGTCAAGGCCAGCCAGTAAGAAGAGAAAAGGCTTTCCTTGGAATGGTTGCCCATTCTCTCCCTAGCTTCCTGGGCAGCTCTGTGGAAACCCTGGGAAATGAGCTTCCTTTAACAGCCGTTCTCTGGTATGGATTACAGGTCTGGGATAATGCCCTGTACTGTGTGCTGGGACCCTACAGGATGAACACGCTGATTCTGGCCGTGGTCTGGTTCACCATGGCTTTAAGGTAAGTTCTTACTTAAGTTCACTAATTCTCTGTACTTCATCTGCCTCCTCTATAAATTGAGGGTTGTGATTGGCTCTGACTATTTAGTCAGGGGCACTGACCTCTTTTCCCTTGGATTGTCAAGTAAAAAAAAAAAAAAAGGCAACAGCCAACAAGACGATAGCCATCCACCATGAATGAATCAAAATTATACCTATTTTTTTTTTTTTGTCAGATCAGCAACAAATATATTTTTGGGTGTGCCGCAGAATTTTAGTGATTAGTTTATGTGTGCCAGGAGAAGAAAAAAAAATAGATAATTACTGGAGTAAGCTAATCACTGGCAAAGGGATGTGATTTCCCAGTGATTCTAGACTACTCAGGATTTGCCTGTGAGCTGACAATCCCATTAACCTTCTTGAGGGCTGATAGAAAATTAAGTGTCTGTTCCCAAAGAAGCAGCAAAGAATGAGTGCTGAGGAGGCAGCCCACTGTGCCACTGTGAATATTAAATGGGTAAAATAGAGCAAATCTGCAATGGGCTCTATAATATGGAAAATTAAATATAATATAATTGGTGATTAGCTGGCTCTTCTCCCAAACAGCAGGCCCTCACCTCAGTCGTTTCATTCACCTCCAATAACATGACCCTTCCTTCTGCGCGAGGCCTGTGGCCCACGTATGGCAGTCTGAGGCTGTCTAATCATAGGTAATAGTGCCTGCTGGAGTTTCTGTGTATAACAAATGCTCGGTAAGTTACTATCATCAACTAGGAACTTTCAGTGAGGATTTCAACTTCCGCCGGTGATACTGCTTTGTTCCCGACCACCCATGACCAAAGACACACTCCCTGGACCCAGAAAATTACCTTGGCCCTAATGACCTCTACATACTCCCCTTTGCATCTTACTTGTGATCATTTTTTATTTTCCTATTATTGTCCTACTTATCATCCCAGTGCTTATTTTTGCAAATTTAAGCCAATATGTATACTTATTTCTTCCTCATTTTTTTATTCAATGGAACACATTGTTGCATCTGCTGTTTGTACTCAACAAAATATTCTGGTGATCTCTCCTACACATAAATTGAGATTTTTCTCACTCAACAGCAGCATAGCACCAGCACACGGCACTCCACAGAAAAGCACCTCACTTTAGCCAACCAGGGATTTATCGCTAGACTCTTGGGGAGTTTTCAGACTTTTGCTACTGCAAATAGTGGCACAGTGAGTAACTGTGTTTGGAGGCTGCTTTGTACTGTGCAAGTTCATCAGTGGAATAGATTCCCAGAAATGGAGTAGGGATTCAGATGGGGTAAATCCACAGGTAATTTTTTAAGACATTTGACTAATCGTCCTCCATGTGTTACTGTACGATTTTGTCCGTTTTCCAGCAATGTGTGAGACACCTGTTTACCTATAGCCTCACCACCAGGGTGTTTTGGCAAACTTGGGGGTTTTGACAATCTGGTAAGTGAGAATGGTAACACAGTGTAGTTTTTATTTGCATTTTTCTTATTATGAGTGGGACTGAGTGTCTTTTTTATATGTCTAATGACCTTTTTTTTGAGTTGGTTATCTTGGATTTTCCAGGAACAAAGTAATATCATCTACAAATAGAGGTCGTTTTACCTCTTGTTTTATTATGTTCCTATGTCCTTTCTCTTGTCTAACTGAGTTGGCTGAGACCTGCAATGTGGTGGTCAGTAGCGGTGGCGGCACTGGGTGTCCTGGTCTTGTTTCTGACGTGAGTGGGAATGTATTTAGTGCTTCTCCGGTGGTAAGACTCTGCCTTTTGAGCTGAGAAAGGCATTTTCTTACATGTTAAGGGAGTGTCCATCAGTTCCTAACCTATTGGTACTTTCATCAGGAATGAATGTTGTTTTTTCATCCAATGCCTTTTCTGTACCTATGGAGATGACCCATGACTTTTTCCCTCAGATCTGTTAAAATGACATGTTATCTGGTTATATTTTCTAATGATGAACCTTATTAATACATTTAAAATGAGTGTCATCTACCTCAAATCAGGATTGCAGACTCTGCTCATGAAAGAATTAAGGGACTCAAACACTTCATCTTCTCTCTTCCAGTTACTACGGACTGACGGTTTGGTTCCCCGACATGATCCGGTATTTTCAGGATGAAGAATACAAGTCCAAAATGAAGGTCTTTTTCGGTGAGCACGTGTACGGTGCCACGATCAACTTCACGATGGAAAATCAGATTCACCAACATGGGAAGCTGGTGAATGATAAGTAAGCGACATACCATGGCCTTTCCCTAGATCAGGGTGACAGTCCTTGGGGACCGTTCTTGGGAGAGAGCCGTTGGAAATATAAGAAGTCAGTAGGTGGCAGCAGAACTCATCATGGCTGCCAGAGACACAGTCATTCCCCTGGTGGCTCTGTGTTGTGCTGGTCCCAATCATCCCTGATCCCCTGGCTGTGGCCGATTTGTCCATGGGTGGAGGCAGAGGACTGTGGAGGGCCACTCAGGCCACCTCCCCTGAGACTCTCACCTTCAACAGAGATACGCAGGGAGCTGTGACCCTTTAATATTGCCAGAGCTCGCACTGCTGAGGTCCCTGCACCAACCCACTGCCTGGCTGTTGAGCTTTCTCTTTGATTCTGGATGCTTTTTCAGGCCAAGGCTAACATGGCACTGTCTTGTTATTGTTCTACCCAGTATTACCTTCAAGGATGGCTCAGCCTGGCCTGTCTGCCTCCATAGTGTTGTCTGTGGGGGGCACAACGAGTAGAGCAAAAGTTTTACCTACCTTTATAAAAATTTTTAAAAGAAGATTTTTATTTATTTATTTTTAGAGAGAAGGGAAGGGAGGGAGAAAAAGAGGAAAGGAAACATCAATGTGAGAGCGAAACATCAACTGGTTGCCTCTTGCACACCCCCAACCAGGCACCTGTCTCACAGCCCAGGTACCTGCCTGGTAGGGAGTCGAACCAGCAACCTTTCATTTTGTGGGACATCACTCCACCAGCTGAGCCACACTGGTCAGGGCTCGTATACCTGTTTTTTAACCAGTGGATGCCAAAATTACAACTACCTGAAGCCCATAATTTTTCCTCCAGCAAATTGCTGAGTAAAAAGGGTGGTTCTCTCTTTGGAAGATGAGGAACCTTAGAAACTGATCTAAGGAATAAACAAATCTGGTTTCTTTTTTTGTGAGTTATACTGCCACCTGCTGTTCTTAAGCTAGAAAACACCCTGTCTTTGAAAACCACAGCCTCTTTGGAAAGTTAAGTTGATGTTCTTCTGCTTGGGTGGGTAGTTTTCCCTTTGTTACCAGTATCCCTGCTTTGATTTTATCCACATTTTACTGATTTAAAATTTAGATAAAAGTTATCTACTTTATTGACTCTTACACTTGGGGGAAAATGCCTTTGTGTAAAAAGGGCCTCAAACTTTACCCAGAGATGTTGTCAGTAAAGAAGATCCCACTGAAACCTACCCTTTGGCTTCTTGTGAGACCCCAGGAAGGAACTGAAGTACACAGATGAGTTTTGCCTGCTCCCCACGTGCCATCTACAGCCCCTGGTGCATCTTACATGATCAGGTGGCTCTGCGTTGCATTCTTGTGCTGCTTTGCTTCAGAGCTCTTGAGTTTTGGGGAAATGCTGAAAAACAAAAGAAAAAGTTCACACTTTAATCCCTGAACAAAAATGTCAGGCCAGCCATTTTTTAAAACTGTTAATGAGAAACAGGATAGCTTTTCATCCCAGAGCAGGTATTAACTAAGTAATTAATTAACTTACCCTCTCCATTTAGGAAGACATTTCTGCTTGGCAGGGATCACTACTGTGAGGGTAGGATGAAGAAGGGGGTTTAGTGGTTTAAACCTCCTTGGACATCAGGCAGGTGCATCTGATTCCTGTTTGTGAGAGCTCGGGACCCAGGAAGCGATGTCATAACCCCGAATTTTCCTCAGAGCTCGAAAGGAAGTTGCTGTGTTCTGCTCAGGGTTAGAAGCTCAAATGGCAATGTGTAATCTTCACCCAAGCCAACTGGGCAGCAAAAAGCAGGAGAAAATCTCCCGTAAGTCCTCATTGAAGGCCAGGGGTAAATAGCTGAGGACGAAAACTAAATTTGCAAGGGTTAACTCTAAAACGAGGAAAGTCATGTATAGTAGGGGACACGGAGAGCAGAGAGGGAAAGAAAGCAAACACAGAACTTGAAAAGAAGTGGTTGGTTTACACATGATGCTGACATGTTACACACTGTTAAAAGCTCCTTTTAGTGGGGCACCGCTAAGAATTTTCTTTAGCGTCTGTGGGCCTGGTTCAGCAAAGCTCTGTGAAGGCGCCAATGGTGCGAGACGTGTATGTGTGGGCTCTGGACTCCGGGTCTGAGGGAGTAGCTATGACTGGAGGTGCTGTGTTATTGGCCGTTCTGGTTTCCACCTCCATACCTATTCATGGCTTTTGCCTCTTTTATTTACTAGATTATCATTTTCATATTAATTTACATGATGTTTTAGTCTGTTCAGGCTACTATAACAAAATACCACAGACTGAGGGGCTAATAGACAACAAAAATTTATTTCTCCCAGTTCTGGAGGGTGGAGGTCCAAATTCAAGGCTCTTCTCTGTGGGGTCTCTTTCATGAGGGCACTAATGCCACTGACCAGGGTGCCACCCTCGTGACCTAATCTCCTCCCAAAGGCCCGATCCTAACACTGTCACATGGGGGATTAGGTTTCAACAATGAATTTTGAATAATTTATAGGAAGGAATTCTTTAAAATTATGTCTAGAAAGCAGTAGTCAATTATGTGTTTAAAATTTCTCTGACAGTGTTTTTTTTTAAATAAATTTTCAAGTTCAGAACAGTTTTAGATTCACAGAAAAACTGTGAAGATAGTGCAGAAAGTTTCTATAGACCCCACACCTAGTTTTTTATTATTAATATCTTATATTACTATGGTGCCTTGTTACAATTAATGAACCAATACCAATACGTTACTGTTAACTCCAGTCCATGCTGTGTTCAGATATTTCGAGTTTTTACCCAGCATTCTTCTTCTGCTCCAGGAGTCCATCCAGGCGCCATGTCATGTTTAGTACTCGTAACTCCTTAGGCTCCCCTTGGCTGTGACAGTTTGTGACTTCCTTCTTAAATTTTGCTTTGTGGTGTCCTTTCTTGTGCAGCTATTTTATTTTATTTTTTTTTAAACGCCAAATTTGTCATCTTTTCCTTTAAGGCCTGTGCCTTTTGGCTCTTATTTCAGAAATCTTTCACATTTGAAGTCACAAAGTTATTTTCTGTGTTTTTAATCTAAGTTTTAAAGTTTGCCTTGCCACAGTTAAGTCCTTAATTTTTCTGGAGGTGGCACATGTATACAAGAGAGAAACTGATTTGGTTCTCCCCCTCCCATACAAATAGCCAATTGTCTCCACAACATTTATGAAACTGCCTGTCTTTTCCCTAATGATATGTAATAACACTTTTATCATATGTCATATTTCTGTCCATGTACTATTGTGTTTCTGTGCTCTGGTTCCATGGGTCTGTTTGTCTTTTCTTTAACCAAAACCACAGTCACTTATTTGCCATAACTTTTTGTTTAGTTGTATTTCCAAGAGTATTAGGTTCCTCCACCTAGTTATTAGCATTTTCCTTGGCTCGTTTTGCCCCTGCACTGTTCCACGTGAATTTCAGGATCAACTTCTAAAATTCCATAAAAAACAGCTGGTTGGGATTTTGATTGGACTTACACAGAATGTCTAGATTCATTTGGGGACATCTTTATACTATATAATCTTCCAGTCATTACACATTGTGTTGCTCTCTACTTAGCATTATCTCTTCCTTTCTTATCCTTATAATTTTATTCTTTTTGCTTCTGGTGGGATTGCCTTTTTCATGACAAGTTCAGGGATGGACGGAAGCAGTGCTAATGGGAATTCTGACTTCAGTGGGGCACTTTCGGTGTCTTACCTTTAGATATTATATGTACTCGATGTTTGGGTTGACATCCTTTATAAAGGTAGGGGAATGCTCTTTTATTTTTGTCCCTCAGAATCAGTCATCTCGTGTTTCTCCACACTGGATCACAAGGGCCCGTTTTGAAGTGACTTTCTAGCATGACTCTGTCTTGATAATTATCACTAAATTTTAATGGTCAGCTTTCTTGATTATGTCTTTAATTAGGCTGAGTTTCCTAAGGGTGATGCCATCAAGGTGACTAAATAGATGAAGCTTTTGGCAGAGTTTAGGTCATTTGGTGGACAAACATTGGGCCTGAGGGTAACAGATATGATGTTTATACTAATAATTCTGCCCTAGACTCTGGACTGTGAGTGGCTTCTGTTTCCTTAGAGGAAAACTTATGCACGATACTTCAGCTAACTTTTTTTTCAGCCTTTGAACTCTCCTGACTGAAAAGTCTTGGACCAATTCAGCATATAATTTAGAGATTGGAAGAGATGATTTATATAGCGACTTGATTTTTATAAACTAGGCCTTGGCCCTCTCTCCTTTTATCTCTTTCTTTATGACTTAGGCTTTTTATATAACTCACTTGGAGGTAAATTTTAAGGTCTGCCTGCATCAAGCCCGTTATGATTTATGGCACTGCTTTCTCCCCACTTTTGCCAGAATATTAAAATATCACAGAAGGCCACAACAGCAGCCTACGGCTATATTAAAGAGAAAGATATATTAAGAAAGGCAAAGACCTGAGACAGTTTCTGGAAATAGCTTCCCTGAGTAAACACATCCAGCATACAAGTTACATTTATTTTGAAATCAGAGGCCTCTTCCTGTAACAAAACTCAGACCAATTTGTTTTTCCATGGAAATCCGAAGAGTTCAGCAATAGCTTTCGGAAGTCCCTTTTTTTCATGTCTGTAGTAAATTTGACCCTAAGAAAAATGATCCAAAATAATTTGGCTTTCTAGATCGACGACTCTCATATTTTTAAAAGTATAGTAAATTGGTATCGGACTCTTGGGGTTATTGTTCAAGAGGTTGAGGCAGAAAACTGCCTCTTCCATAATAGACCCCATGCTACTCTGGTGCAAGGGTTCTCCGGCCCTCTCTTGGCGAAGCCCTTGCCCAGGTCTCCCTACTGGGCGGGAGGTCTTTTTTCAGGAGCTCCTGTTAGGTGGCTCTGGGTCAGGGCTCTGAGCAGACTCCAGTGCAGCATGAAGGGTAAGGGAGCGGCCATCATATATGGTCATGGACTGAATTATCTGATGGCCCTGAAAAGGAACACTGACCCTCAGCACCCTGTGCTACTAATACCACTATGACTCCCACTGCCTTAATTGTCTGTTTGCTTTTATTTTTTCCCAATTAGACGTGGGGACAGAAACCATGTCTTTCCTCTCTGTGCTTAGAGCACCTAGTACCATGCTCAGTAAGTGTTGGCTGAAGACTGAGTACGTAAATGAACAGACAAATGATCATTCATGGGTTAAATGAATGGATTGTAATTATTCACATAGGAAAACATATCCAAAGGTTTCTAGATTATAAGTGTGGCCAAGCTTAGGAAATATAACCAGCAGAGGGTGATGTGAACATTCGTCAGTGCGTGTTTCTTTAAATGCAATGCTATTCTTTCCTGCTAAGTTTGCACTGGAGTTTGAATGGTGCAGTGGATCCCAAATGTGACTGCACCTCCTGACCACCCAGGTGCTTCCCCTATTAAATGTTTTGTGTTTAATTGGGAAAACTAATATATACACTTGGTACAAAGGAAAAATTAAGTTCATTTCTTTTTTAAAAAAGATTTTATTTATTTTTAGAGAGAGGGAAAAGGAGGGATGAAGGGAGGAGACAAATATTGATGTGAGAGGGAAACATCAATTGGCTGCCTCTCGCACCCGCAGCTGGGGAGCTGACCCTCAACCCAGGCATGTGCCCTGACTAGGAATCGAACCAGCAACTTTTGGTTCACAGGCCGGCACTCAATCCACAGAGCCCCACCAGCCAGGGCAGGTTTATTTCATTCTTAACCCCCATTGCACTTCCCCAGGGCCATGACATCTACCAGCTCCTTGTGTAATTTTCCAGATATATTCTCTGCATTTGGCAGCATATGTATCATATCCTTTCTTTTTAAATGAAAGGTCACATGCTATGGGCACTATATTGCATTTGATATTTCTTGGCTAGTAATATGTCTTGAAGATTGTTCCATATTAAGACATACAGCTCTACGTAATAACTGTAATGGCCACGTGGTATTCCACTGTATGGTATCGATCTGTCTCCCTACCTGTCATCTATTTAATAGTCACTTCTTGTCATAAGAAATGATGCCATGAGCATCAGTAAATGTATCACTTTGAATGTATGAGCAAATACATGTAGGGTAAATTATTAGAGGTGATTATTCCTAGGTCAAAGGGATTATGTACTAAAAATTTTGCAAAATTGCTTTCCCAACAGGCTGCACCAATTATATTCCATTAACAATGTGAATGAAAGTACCTATTTCCCCACATCCTTGCTGGGGCAATTTTAAAAATACAGATTCTCAGAAACCTGTTACTTTTAAACTTACTAAGACCAGCTGAGGGACCTGCATGTTTTTAAAGGTCCGCATAAAGTGAGATGCTATCAGTATTTTTATTTCACAGTGTTCACCTTTCGATGATTCCATTGCGGAAGGTCCAGGGACCTGCACTTGGGGACCACCAGGCGGATGCATAGTCCCCGATATGCACCTGCACTAGACACCAGCTTCCACACCCCTGAAACCCTCCTCATTCATCAACCAGCAGCTAAGAAATGGGGAACTAGGCTAGGTTAAAAATAATATTTCAGCACCTTTTGGCTTGTAGTTCTCCTTTTTCTGCCTTTCTGTGTTTTTCATTTTGCTCTCAAGTCTTTTTTCCTCGGTGGATCACTTAGGAACAAGTGTCTTTCCCACAGGTTCACAAAGATGTACTTTAAACATGTTCTCTTTGAAGACACGTTCTTTGACGAGTGCTATTTCGAAGATGTTACATCCACTGATACCTATTTCAAAAATTGCACCATTGAATCTACCATCTTTTATAACACAGGTAAGAACATGGCAGCGTGGGGAGACTGTCAGAGGGTGGACTAGTCTTATCTAAGAACCTAAATATGCAGCCGTAACTTTAGGGCAGTAAAAGATTCACAGGTAGAAGTGCTGAGCCTTAAGATGGAGAAATGGGTTCCAGCCCCAGGTCTGGTGCAGGCGAGTTGCACAGTCTTTACCAAGCCATGTAACTGACCTGCACCCCAGTTTTGTCACATATAAACGAAACAAAAGTTTTGGGTAAGTGTTCTGATTTCAGTGAGACTGATACTATATACTAAGAGTCCTTGGTAGGAACCAAGAATGACACAGATAGAAATATCACTGCAGGAGGGCCCTATCTTATCCACAAAGTGCATTCTTGAAGACCCTGCCTCATGTGAAACTTGCAAAATTCAAGACTCATGGTATCATAACAGGAAATGAAAACAGAGAAATTGCTTTCTGCATGAAGTGAAACGATCAGGATATTTTTAAGTCACACCATGTATGATATCCATGATTTAAAAAAAATCCTCAAACCCCACCCAGTCCTCCCTCCTTGTTATTCTTACTGCCCCCATCACCTCTCAATAGCACACCAGGGGGAGTCGGGATATAAGGAAACTGAGCACCGCCAGGGGCTTCACCTCCATTGTCTCGAGTGAGAATTGTCTCAGCAGCCCCATCTCCTAGCTGAGGAAAACGGACGCTTAAATAGTCCTGGATGATAATATTTGTCCCTTGCCCAAGGCCACAGCCAGCAAGCGGATGGAGCTGGGGTTCTTTTCTCAATGGTTTGGCTCTGAGCTCTGTGACCTTCCCCCTGAACTACTTGCACTATGTCCAGATCAGTGCTTTCTCCCTGGCATCGGCACCGACGGGTGGTTATGTGACGACATCGTCCTCCTCTGTCATGTCAGCCTTCAGAGGTCCACTACCTGGCCTCTGACTCTCCTTGCCTCTCCATTATCTGCCATGGGACTGAAACTTTCTAAATGATTTTTTTTTGCCTGAACTTAAAAAAAAATAACAATGAGTTCTCCGCATTCCTATTTGTCATTAAAACCTGGCATATCTTTTCTTCTTTCAAGTTTTATTGAGGCCTCTTTGTTATCCTACTCTTAACATGGGGGTATCTGCAAACACTTGTAGTTCTGAGACATCAATGCTGGGGAGCCATGGAGGTAAACAAGGGTAGTCCTCTAATGTTGTAGGTGGAGGTTCAAGGGAGTTAAAGACGGTCAGTTCCCCAAACCCAGCTTCCCTGGGAGCCTATTTAATCTTACTTCTGCCAGAACAATTGGTGTTAGAAGGTGTCTGAAGACCTGGTGTTAGAAAGTGTCTGAAGACCTGATTCCAAGGCAAATAGTTTCTGTTTTTTTAAGACTTATTTTTTAAGGGAAGTTTTAGGTTTACAGCAAAATTAGGAGGAAGGTAGCAAGGTCCATGAACCTCCACCCCCAGACATTGCCTCCCCCATGTCAACGTCCCCCACCAGAGTGGCACATTTGTTACAATCGATGAACCTACGTCGACATGTCATTATCACCCAGAGTCCATAGTTTCCATTAGGGTTCGTTGTTGGGGTTATACATTGTGTCCTTGGTATTATACATCACACACTCGGCATTATACATTGGCTTGGCCAAATGTATACTGAAATGTATCCATCATTACAGATCTTAAAGAGTATCTTCACTGCTCTAAAAATCCCATGTTCCCCTGTTCCCCTCCCCTGCTCTGGCACCCTGCACCCCCACCCTGAAAGCCACTGATGCTGTTATTTTTATTTTGAAGAATGTTCAGTTTTCTATATAGGCTCTTGGGTATTTGGCTCAATCTGGACATCATTCTTTTGTCTTCAGCTTCCATAAGCTGGGCAGCCTCAGAGGACTGGTATGTGGCTTGAGAGATGATGTATTTAAACAAGACCCTCAGTGACTGTTTCATTTTCCCTCGCTGATCAGAAGGGGAACAGGTCATTACATTTGTGGAGGTTTCTCGCTTCATCCCTTGGCAAACATCGCATTGACTCTGAGACGCTCTGACTGCCCGAGGCTGGCGCGGCCTGCCCATGCAAGGGGCGTAGCTTCGTCCTGACTCTGCCCTGACTGCCCGTAACTCTCCCTCTGCTTTACACGAACCCACGGTTTCCTTCTCTTTCCAGACCTCTACGAGCATAAGTTCATCAACTGTCGGTTTATCAACTCTACCTTTCTGGAGCAGAAGGAGGGCTGTCACATGGACTTCGAGCAAGATAACGACTTCCTGATTTACCTCGTCAGCTTCCTGGGCAGCCTGTCTGTTCTGCCTGGGAACATCATTTCTGCCCTGCTCATGGATAGAATGGGAAGGCTCAAGATGATCGGTGAGTTGACAGGGATGCCACCCTCTGTGCTCCAGTGGGCCCAGGCCGTGACTTAAAGTGTGCCGTGGGATTTCTCATTTTCTTAAAGAAATCTGGCACAGCAAACCACACAGGTAAGATGGAATCTGCTGGTGTTGAGTCGAGGAGGCACATCGACCTTGGAGTCGGTCGGAGGCCTCCAGCTCAGGCCAGGGGCTCGGCTCCATTTCCCGACTGAATAATTCTGTGAGGGTCACCTATTTTACGAGCACTTCAGTAGGGATATTAAATATATCCACTCTACATGCTCTATATACAAAGCATCATGTAAGCTTTGTCTATAAAAACCTTAAAGCTTTGTAAGGTTATTACCAGAAAAATATACAAAACGTTCTTTCTTAAATGAGCGTTGGTTTTGTTTGATGATTTAAATTTTGTATATTATTTAAGAGTGATAACACTTTGGCTTTGGGAGTTAGATAGGACTCGTGTTGGAATTCTATCCCCTAAAAGCTGTTTGACTTTGAACATGATCCTTTACTTTCCCAGGCCTCAGTTTTCTTATCTATAAGATGGGGATACCTCTAACTGGAGGACTGAACGTGATGTACTCAAAGCATCCTGTAGAACTTGGTGCACCGCAGGTTCTCAAAAATGGCAGCTATATTCATGTAGGTCTTGCTTTATTCGGCCCGGGTTTGGAGCAGTTTATTATAGAAACTCATGCCACCCATGGTGAACAGGAAACAGAGAATATACACCCAGGGCCAGAGAAAATGTGTATTAGAATACGAGTCAGGGCCGGGGATGGGGAAGCAGACAGCACACTAATAAATGCACCCTAAGATCTGACCTGAGGATGCAGTCGCTCAGTAAAATTAATACCAAGATCCCTAGCCACAAAGCCCAAAGGGAAATAATAAATCACCTAGTCATTTCGTCAGAGAAGAGCAAGTTGACCAGGTCCCCATGGGAAGGCAATTTATAAATATCAACACCTTTAACCCTCACAAAAGCCCTGTGGGTTTGGTGCTATTTTTTATCAACGTTTTACAAATGGGAAAAGTGACACAGCACAGAGAGGTTAAGTGATTCCCTCAAGGTCACACAGCTAAGGCTGGGATTTGAACTCAGGCCTCTCAATCGCAAGAGGAATAAGAACTATGAGAGCAGCAGTACAGTGGGCCAGAGAGACCTGTAACGGGGAGACTTCACATAGTTGAAGGGTCAGTTCCCTGACGTCATTTGATTTCCTTGATGATAATATTTGTCCTCAACACACATTTGTCAGCGTCTCTTGGAAGCCAGCTAACACGGCTGGCCATTCTGAGGGGTGCGTGAGGGCAGATGAGGCATGCTTTGGCCAATGCCAGTCTCCTCTCATTCTCGTTTTCTCCTACCTGGTCACAGCCCCACCTCTTCTTAGAAACAGCACAATCAAGACGGACAGTTAACATTTCCCAGCTGGCCAGCAGGGCTTAGCGCTAGTTTTGGGCTATTGGGGTAAGGGCGAGTTTCCCAGCAGAGGTCCCCCTGGGAGGCACTTGTTGGTGAGGCCAGACCCACCTTCTGGCTTCGTGTCAAGCGGACGTCCTCCCTCCCCCAGGCTCCCGATGCCTGGTGGGGACTCTTGCCTGAAATCCCAGCTGGTTGTTTGGGACCTGCCTTTTTACCCCTTTGGGGTGCAGAGCAGGGTGGAGAATGGCAGATATTTGGGACGGGATGGGCGTAAATGGAGAATAAGCAGGTTTGCCTTCTGTAGCCCACTTACAGTTATGTTGTCACTAGGATGTAATTTCCACAAGAAGACTTTTTGTTTTGTTTTCTTTTTTAATGCCATATCTCAAGCATCTAGAAGAACGTCTGGCATATAATAGACGGTTAACTAACCCCCACCCCTGCCTCGTCCCTAGTTATTCTGGGCTGGGAACACAGAGCGACAATTTAGAAATTCTTCCCGTAGGTTGGCTCTGGTGATGTGACCCATGCAGAGGCCTCTAATTCCATGGCCAAGGTCCATGTGAGGGTTCAGGCTGTGCTCTCTGTGTAGAGACGGACCTTGTACTTGAGGTCGCCTGTACCTTCAGGTGTACCTGTGAGGATGGAGGATGGGGCGAGACCTGTGGCTCACAGCCTTGTCTGTGGCCCGGGCCTCACGTTCCTCTCGGCCCTCGACCTCCCTCCACAGGTGGCTCCATGCTGATCTCGGCGGTCTGCTGCTTCTTCCTGTTTTTTGGCAACAGCGAGTCTGCGATGATCGGCTGGCAGTGCCTGTTCTGCGGGACCAGCATTGCTGCCTGGAATGCTCTGGATGTGATCACGGTGGAGCTGTATCCCACCAACCAGAGGTCAGTTCTTCCCTGGGCGCCTCACTGGGACTCCTTGGGACTCGTTAGAACTGTAGCTAGAAATCTGCCTGCTCCCAGATCCTGCGCCATGGGCACCTTGACCTTCCTGGAGTTCCAGGGACCAACTATTTCTTAGGATTTTGAGTTTCTCCTGCGTGGGGCTGGCATAGGCCTGGAAATGAGTGGGCTGAGGCTTAATAGGGTGGGCTGGATGGCAAGGTGCAAAGGACAAGTGTCAACCGTGTCCAGGAGAGAAAATAAGAGGGCAATGCCATATACATCACACAATCAAAAAGAGGTGAGAACAAGCCTCCCAGTGGGAGACCCAGTGGGGAGGTAAAGAACGAGGGAAACACGGGACTTGGGGGAGGTGGAGGGAAGTCTCGGTGGGTGAGGCCTGATGCTCTGGGGCGTTTGCAGAGAGTGTGGCGGGTTGCCCAGGGTTGCATTTTGCACAAGGCATATGAGAAGAGACCTGGTTTAAAGGCATCGGGGCAAGGCCATTACTTAGCAGTTATTTCTCCTCCTAGAGGAGGAGCTGGGAATTTTAACAATAGCACATAAAGGGGACCCGTGGTCAAAAAGGACTGTGAAGTGGTGTGGAAGGCAACTAAATGAAATTCTGCAAGAAAAAAAAAAAAAAGAAAGAAAGAAAGAAAGAAAGAAAGAAAAGAAAAGAAAAGAAAGAAAGAAAGAAAAAGAAAAAAGACCAACTCTAAATTGGTGACAGAGTTACTGGGATGTAGGTTGCTATGGAAAAGCACAGCATACCACCCCCTGAACCAAAGAACTCCTAAGTTTTACCAAAAAATAGGAGGAGAAATGGTCATTACTAGCATGGGGTGGGATTTTATATCTAAGAACCCCAAGAAAATTAACTAAAGAGAATACTAGAAACAATAAAATAACTTGGTATGGTGGTCAGTAATAGAACAAACTGAAAAATCTATAGACTTTAAAATATATAAAAATTAAAAATAAAATTGAAATCCATTTAATAACAGCAGACATCATAAAATATCTAGGAATCAATTTGATGAGAAAGGTGAAACATTTATGTGAAGAAAACCATAAAGCTTTACTGGAAGATATAAAAGAAGACTTAAATATATGTCAGGATGTACCTTACTGAATTCTAAGAAGATTTATTCATACAAAAATGTCAAATCTTCTTTAGTTTTCCTCTAACTGAAAAATGTCCATTCAAAATTTTATGAATCCCTCCCCAGCCCCAAAGAACTTCAAAAATTAAATCTAGAGCTTATTTGGAAAGAGAATATTCTAACAACATCCAAGAATATTCTGAAAACAAAAGACTGGAAAGGGGGCTGGTGATTATAAGGGTCTAGTGTGGCAGTTACATACAAGAATGTAAATAAATACATTATACTTTAAGTTATTTTTTACATTTTATGTAATCACATGACCATACTCAGCAGCAAAGGAGTCTGGGAAATGTAAACTTACATTTGGAGAAATGCTATTTACGGACAATAAGTCTCTGTTATACGAGGGTCAAAGGTGTTATTAAGGGGGAACATTTACACTTTCTGCATCATCCTTAATTCTTTCAGTAGTTCATAACATTCAAGTATTACCTGTGAAAATTTTTTAAAAAGATACATTTGAAAAGGAAAAAAAAATTTGAAGGAAATGCTCCAGAATGTCAATAGTGATGATTGCTTTTCAGTGGAGAGGTTATATATCCTTGCATCTTCATGTTAGTCTGTATTTCCTAATTTGACTAAAATGAGAATGTATTACTTTTATATTTAAGGAAAAAAAAAATCTCTCCCACATCTTCACTTTACCTTCCCCCACAACAGTGGAAAGAAAGAACCCAGTCCTACTCATCTAATACAGTCTAGATGGTGTCTTTCAGAATTTACTTTCTTCTTTTACAGGGCAACGGCCTTCGGCATCCTCAATGGATTATGCAAATTTGGAGCCATTCTAGGAAACACCATCTTTGCTTCTTTTGTTGGGATAACCACAGTGGTCCCCATCCTTCTGGCTGCCACCTCTCTTGTTGGGGGCGGCCTGATCGCTCTTCGTCTGCCAGAGACTCGAGAGCAGGTCCTGATGTGAACCAGCTGTGGGGAAAGGAAATCTTGGAAGAACCTTTTCTGGGAACCTTCGAGGCGTCCACACTTCCTATCTATCACCGTCCAGAGGACTTCGGATAGCACCGGAGGAGATGTTGATTTTGTGACCCCTAGTTTAGGACCCATTTCAGCTTCAAGATGTTTGTAACTCAGGTGACTGATTTGGGGGGGTCATGAGCCACCCTGATAATCTCAGAGCTGTGTGCTTGGTTTCAGGCTTCCCAAGGCAGGGGAGGAGGACTCACACCCTCCGGTGGGTGTGCCTGCTGAGCCAGGAGCGTGCATTGCCCCAAATGCGGCGCAAGGACTTATTTGCATTTCCAAATGAATTTGAGCTTGAGAACACTCAGGCTCTTTCAAAAATTTCCTCCAAGCCCAATGACCTAACAAATTGACTTGACAAGAAGTTAGAGTCATCCTATAAATATTGGGCTTGGAGTACAGGACACATGTATTTTTGCATTTAAAAGAATCACCTGTCATATTTTCCATTTGAAAATTGGCACAACAGCAGTGAAGATACTCAGCTATAGAAAACCAAATATCTGAGCATTATCTATAGAAACCTGCTACCCCTCTCCCCACCAAGTGTCCTGAGCTTTTCAGGATGATTAGGTGATACAATTTAAGAATGATATTTATTCCTATTTTGATCTATTCAAAGAAACTTAATGGGATAGGTATTCTGTAAACTAACTTTGTACATAACTGTATTTGGGTTTAATTTGCAGAAATAGTATCTGCAAATATTTGCCAACATTATAGCCATATTACGGGAGGACTTGGTGTTTGAGGTCCCAGGATATTGGGTCTCATCAAATGAAATGCAAGCACAATTTCTTATAGCCATTTAACTTGCTGTGGGGAGGATGCGCTCAGCAAATCACATTGTGCAGTTCATTTAATGTAGGCACTTCTCTTCGTGTAGGTGGAGAGCTTCCCTCTCTTACACAGATCACTTGTGAAACCCAAGCTCCCTGTCTGCAGTACTGGCATTTGACTTTTCTGCTCACCCAGAAACAGCATGAGGAGTGGTCAGTAGCCTCTGGCATTGTCTTTGTAGGTGAGAATCAAACAGGGTGGACAGCATGTGGGACGGAGGGAAGGATGGGGAAGTGTAGCCGCAGTTCTTCAAAGTGGAAATTCTCCCTCTTCCTTTCAGGAGCAAAACATGATCCAGATTAGTTACAATGGTCAGGTCCCATGAGAAATCTATGCTCTGTATCTTGGTTCAGGACTTTGGAAACAGATGTCATTGACAAGGGAGTAGGGGGTGGCGTGGATGTCAGGTAAGCTCTCCTTGAGAGCTCTGAGAAGACTCTTTCCTGAGATCCAGTTTGGAACATGAATTGGGGCCGGGGGCGTGTTGAGGAACCCAGGACACATGCTACTCTGGCAAGGGTCAGCAATAGGCTGAAGTCTGGACTACTTAGAAAGGGATCAACGTTTTATCCATCAGAACTGTTCTGCATGGAAGGAACAGTGAGCTATGAACGTGTGACAGTGGAGGTGACCTTACCTGGGCCAGGTGAATATCAACCAGCATTTGAGTCAATGAGCAGCACTCAATGCTTCAAGGTGCCTCGCTTTCCGTACCAGAAGTCTCTGAAAACTAAAAACAATTATGATGGTTGTGCTGAGTGTTTTCTCAGTTTTAGAGAAATGCTTGGGTCCCCATATAGCTTCAGGCCATCTTTCTATTGTTCTCCAGAGTAACAGGTAGACGGGGAAAGAGTACATTCTGTGGCATCTTTCTGCCCTGCAGTTGAGATCACTTTTAATGGTTGAAATGTTTACTCTGCTTCTCTTGTCCTTCACCTCTTTATTTACCCCCTTTTTCCCTGTACAGTGAAGACACATCTACTCTCCCATTTTATATCCTGATACTCCCAAATATATAAACATACCACTATGTATTAATGTTTTTCTCAGTGCTTTATAGAGGTGACCTCACAGAGACGCTATGTCAATAATGAGAGACCCAATGTAATATACCTGTAATATACCTGCCACAACCTTATGATGTGAAATACAGTGGCCAGTTCACACGAGAGAGCTGTGTAAGCCTAGGATTGCTACGTCCTTTAGAGCAGGGGCCTAATGAGCAGCTGTCACATAAGAAATTTACAAGGCAGTTAGAGTCTGCCTGTCTAGTGAAGGTGGATCTTGTAAATCTAAAATGTGATTAATTTTTTAGTGTTGGGGTGGCTACAATAATTTGGGGGTCAACGCCTTTTGATTTCTGAGTGCTAAGTTCTGCATTATCTTCCTGGCTTGTGGCACCACCCACCTGGAGAACCGAGGGCAACTCTCATCTCATCCGTGGTCTGTAGACGTTCCCCCACGAAAGGCTTTCTGGCACAGGAGCGTGCCTGCTTCTCAAACGCTGCCACTCCTGTTGAGATAAATGCTTCTTTAAATATCGTCTCTGTGGCAGGACATTGGGGGTGGGGGTAGGGTCCAGCATTCCTGGCCACCCCCTTCTTTTTCATTTTGTGTTCTAACCAGAGGAACTCCCAACGGCATCTGTGGAGAAGTAAAGGAATGAGGTTCTCCTTCCTTGGGCAAATCTGTTCACAGTTTACGATGTATTTTATGACGTCCAGTTTGGGAGTAGTTACTTTTAGTAGTCTCCGCTGTATTGTGTCCTTTCCTGATGCTGATTTGAAATCTTTTGTTTTATTGAAAATACCTGGTGAACGGAGTGTGTCAATTTGTGAAGTTTTTAGCACATGAGCCCGAGGTCATGTTACAAATCACCCCGTGCCTAGGGTCTCCTGGTACCTTGTGTTAGTTCATTTAAAAAATAATAAAAATAATTGCAAACAAACCTTTAAGAACTGAGGCTAGAGATTATTTTCAGATTCTAAGGTCTCTTCTGGTTTCCTACATGGGCATAATCAGCTCGGAGGAACACCAGGAATCATTTCCTTTAACTTTGCTTTTCACAGGGGGGCCTGGAAAGGTTAAATGATGTGTCCAAGGTGAAGTGTAGTACAGGGAGTGGGTTACAAGGCTTATGCTCGCTCTGTAATTTTGAACTGATTCCTCAGTCACTGATGTCCTACTACAGGACCCCCCACAGAGTCTTTGGGGAATGGGACAATGTGACCAACCCTTACCTTCCATTTCCTGAGGCCAGTCATTGAAAGCTCCCTTGATTGGTTGACCTAAAATGAATGAAAGGATCAGAAAAATCAGTATTCATTCATTCAACACGTCCACTTAGACCTCATTCAACACGTGTTTTCAGAATTGCTACTGTGTGTCTTGTGTTACATTAGGTCCCTGCCTCTAAGTGGTTTTCTTTCTAAGTGGACTGAAGCTCTGTGCTTTTGTGGGTAGCTGCGCTATGTTTAGTCAAAGCCCTAAGAACAGTTTGGGAATAAATCACACAGCCTTTGCATTTGAGACACGCTTAACAGCCATTTTATTTAATTTGCAGAGGCGTGGAGGGGAAATTTAGATGCATGGCTTTTGTGAGAGCCATGAGGTTTCCAAAAAGATGAATGATGAAATTAAACCCAGGCCAGAGCTCTCCACAGAGGTTAACCGGAGAAACACAAGGGGTTATAACCTTTGCTAATTATAGAAGGGACGGGGGACCTACTTGGCAGGCCCATAACACATTCCCCACCCTCAGAACGTTCAAGACGTGAACTGGGGAATGAGAAGTCCTTGTCGTCTCACCTGAAAACACAAGCTTGGCTGTTCATTTACCTCTGCTCCTGGTGGCTTAAAGTGTCATTAAAATTTTAGAGACCATAAGTATCTATACTCTCAGAAAGCAAAGGTCTTTTAGGAGGTATCTTCTACCGAAGTTCATATGGCGGCCTCATTCACAGTGACCATTGCTCGGAAGAGCAAGAACCAACTGTTACGCACCCCACTTCCCACATATGTATATAATCTCAGAAATTCAGATTTCTCCAAATCAGCATGTGTGACTTCAGTAGGATAAGAACCAAGGCCTGTGAAAACGGTGTCCTGGGAAAATTAGACTTTGGACTGTATTGCAAAGGATTGCTTAAAAATGCTCCGGAAAACAACTGGTAAGCAATTGATGAACAGATTATAAAGGACTCTTATTTATTCAAGTGTTTCTCCCAATAATTACAAAACAAATTCTTTCAATCTCAAATATATTTGAAAGTGATGAAACTCTACCTCTTTAAAGTGTGTGTTATGACTTAGCCTTCTTTCCAGTTTGGAGTCGGTCTGGATGAGTCAAGAAACCCCCAACTTTAATAAATGTTTGGAGTGGATTGCTAATAGCGAATTTGCAGGTATTTATCCTAGTGATTTTAATAAGGGTAATTTTTAGAAGCCCACACCCTGCCGAGCATCCAGTGGAATGATCACATTGTAAGCTGCAGACTTGCCATCAGCATGCAGACAGCATTGCCGCGATGTGCAATAGAGCTGAGGCTATGGCCGGGGACGCAGGAAAAGAGTATTTTATATGCAGTCCCGAACAGACACGTGCAGCCAGTAAGTTTAATAGATGGTTTTGAAAGGTAGCTCAGCTACTGAAAGTTACATTTTGGGGGAAGTGAGATGGAGGTATTTGTAGTTGACATATAATAATAATAATAATTTTATACACACAGTACATAGATTGATATGAAAACTATTTTATTGTTTAAAATACATGTCATGGGTTAGTTTTGATTTGAGCTCTTTTTGCGTAAGAGATGAGTCTAAAAGGTGTTTTAAAATTTAAAAGTGTGAAGTATTTATCAAGTATTTAAACACAAATTTGTCGATTCTGCTACATTTCCAACAGGTTGAATTATTGGCCTGTGCATTTCAGGTTTCAGAAATAAGAGGGGCATTTAAAGCTATTTTTCTGCTTGAGATTAGGTCCCAGCTTTTCGGTCCATCTGAATGCTGGAGGTCCCCAAACTGAATAGTCTAAGAGTTACTATACTTCTTTGTTCTTAATGTGATGGGTGAAGTAGATCAAACAGGTCTAGGTATTAGGGAGACCTCTTCTTAGAGTTTGCTGGTTCATTTTTCCGTACTGATTTATGCTTACAATTATTTAAAATTTTTTTCTGTTCCAAAGTAGTTCTCTAAACTTGGAAAGTGCAAGCAAAGCTTTCGGGCACCAATGAGGAGCAGTGCCAGGGGCTTAGAGGTTTTATTCCCTCCGGTGGGCGGGGGGCCTAGAGTCGTGCCAATGTTGGGGAGACGTGGAAAGCATCCAGATATGAGTGACTATTGATGGTCTTCCTTGAATGTTTGACTAGTGGTTTTGAATTTTTTCTTACAATCACTGCCACAAAAAATGGCCGTCTCAGTCCTTTGACTACATGGGACACTCCTAGGTCTTCAGATGTGCGAGGCTGAGTAGGAACGCTGTAGCATTGTCTCGAAACAAAGTTAATGAGGACCATCTCACCAGGTTTCCACTGTGGTCCTGGGAAGTGCTCTAGGATTCGTAAAGAACACTTCGTTGGGCTACAGGGCATCTGCAATGCTATGGCCGTTGATGAGGTGCGCTCACACACAGCCGGGGAGGAAGGGGATGTTTCTTTGGAAGCCTGCCATCGTTCTGTAAAGCATTGTTCTGTAAAGCATCGTTCTGTAAAGGTGAGATGACGAAGTGTCAGTTGTATTTTATGGCCCCGTGTTGTACTGACTAGCCCTCAATTCCATAGCCACAAGGAGGACTCAGAGCCACCCTGAGAGCCATCAGAAGGGAGTTTGTGGGTGATTAGCAAAGGGACCCATTGCCCAGGTGGCAGTGTCTTGACAATTGGCTGGATTACTCTTGCCCCTGTGCCCATCTAGAGCTGTTTGGATCAGTCTGCAAATAAATACTGTGCCTAGTGAACGGATCCACTGAAAGATTAAACTGACGCTGTGAGTGTGAAATGACTGAAGTAACCTTTGTTTTCTCGTCATATTTTTCATGCTCTAGTTTCCCTGTCCCTTTAAGTGTTTTTCCATCTGACCATCCTTGGAAAGTGGGATTGTGACACCTTTTAGTACTTTAGTATATGAAGGTAGCAGAAACATTTGATTTGGTGATTGGTAAATAAAACTTCTAACCTTTACTACTCGGTGATCCAAATGCTAGGAAACCCTTGCTGAAAACTTCCTGTATGACAAAGGCCATGATAAAGACTTTTAAAGACTGTCTTCTTTAATTCTTATAGTAGCTTAATGATATGTTACTTCCTTTCCTTTAGTGAGGGGGAACCTAAAACGTGGAAAGGTGAAGTAACTCGCCAAAGACCATATAAACTGGTAAGAGGTGGAGCTGGTCCCTTCTCACCCAGCACATAGTGCAATGCACTCACCCCACCAAACTTCCCCCCGGAGAAGCCTGGGTGTGGACTAGTCATTGGCTGCTCATGTCTCCAGGCCGCAGGGACAATATTAACTCAACTAGATGCCATCTTAAGTGTCCAGGGTTTCACAGGACGGTGACCTTATAAACCCTTCTTTTTCTCTTATGCATTGTGACTAACCTAGCATCTGGGGCATAGTAGGTCTTGATAAATGGTGAATAGAAAGGTGAATAAACACTGTAGGTGAGTGACAAGGAGCAGTGCAAATGTCCCATTCAAAAGATGTAAGCACTGGGTTATGCAAACGCTGACGCTGCAGCCACAGCCCTGGGGCACGGCCTGGAGGCCTGTGCTTTGCTGAGTTTTAAGGCTCCGGTTATTGGGTGGTGGGGATCCCGGGTGGGGGCTCTGGGGCGGGTTCTTGTTCTTGAGCGGTGGTGGGGATCCTCACGGGACTTTAGGCAGTGGTTTTTCACCAATTGGGATGGGAGAGGTTCAGTGTTTTAACAGGTATGGGCAGGCCAGTGTGAATTCACTGGATGGAAACCTCGGGAGAACACCTCGTCACCCCCAACGCAGAACCCTGGTCTAGTAGTGGTTTCCGAGGATCTACTGAGGCCGCTGAGACATCAATAATTGAAAAACTTGGTGAGGCTGGAGTTAGCCAGCCAGCTCTACGTTTTGCTCTGCATCTCTAACACTAGAGGGCAGCAGCTACTTTAGGAATGTAAAACAGGCCTGTACTCCAGGGGTGTGAGCCTCTGTCCCAGTTTCTGTCGAGTGACAGGAGACACTTTTGCAAAATGCCAAGTATTTTCCCTCTGTTCTTTAGGAGACATCTGAATGTGGACATGATTCCTGAAGAGATTTGCTGGAGGGCCCAAGAGGTCCTTCAACCACTGTCATGTGCTTGGGCCTGAAATAGACTTTCCTCATCTTTGGGGACCATTGTCTAGATTCGGTTTCAGCAAACATCTATTAAATGTTTGGGTGGAAACTCCTGGCTCCATCCTGGCAGACAGCTGGCATTTAACCCGTGCTTATTTCACCAGTCCCTCACCATCTACCGTTGCTGGGTAATTGCATCTAGGTAAAAACCGCAGGGGGTGCCTGGGAATTTGTGGCGATTAAGTGTTAGAAACAAGGAAACAGAAGTGTGTGGGGTTTTGCATATTCACAGCATGGCCATGCAAAAGCTGAACTCTTCCACATATGGAAGATGGCTTGCATCGTTAACCATATTTAAATACATTGTTTTAGCCAAGCTCATGGGAGCAAGGCTTTCCAGCAAACTGATCCATGTGAAGGCAGTCAGATATGCTGGGAGAAGCTTCATATGGGAACCCCAGGTTCCTGGCTCCCCGCCTCACTTGTGTGATTTAGGAAAAGGCTATGAGGTCTGGGGCTGGTTGCCTAACCCCAATTTTCCTTGTCTTTAAAACAGAAGAGGCGGGTTCACGGCTGTAAGGCCTCTCTAGTTTTGGCTTTCCCCAGTGAGAACAATGTCCAGTAGGGGATGATGCATGCAAAGCAAAACATAGAAATAGAGGTCTCTCTGCGAGTCTGGGTAGAATGACAGAAAGAAATGCATGCAATGGTGCATATGTTTCCTTTTGAGATGCTCGAGAAGGTGTACTTTGCTTATTCTTGACGAGTGGCTTCTGCTGAAGGAAAAGGTGGCAGGCGAATCTGTACGTGTAACAGCGAGAGAAATCTGGGCTCAGGGCTAACTTAAGAGAGAAAAAGGAAGCACACATAGTGAAAATGAAGTTTAGTTTTATATTCAGATCTGAACTGAGATACCCACAAAGTAGTGACAAGAAACCTCATTTAGCCACACCTGTGGAAACTATGAAAGAAGGTGTTCAGAGAGACTGAGGTGGCGGGGGTGGGGAGGCGGAGAG